GGGCCCAACAAAATCCCCAGACCTTAGCAGGTTCTCCCAACTTTTTGAGTTTCGGAACGTCAGGAAATGATTTTAATACTTTCCAAGATAACAACCTCCCCGTCGGAGAAGTTGACAACATCCGGTTTGGAATCGGACCAAATCAGCAGCCTTTCCGTATGGACGTTGGAACCATGAATTTCGGAGGTCAGAACCAACAACCACAGGGAGCCTCTCCTAATAATTTATCTCCATTCACTCCTTTCGCTCCCGGAAACGGTGGCATGCCAGGAGGTGCAATGGGAGCCATGCCGGGCGTTGGTATGGGAGGGATGCCAATGGCAGGTATACCTGGCGGATTCGACAGCGGTTTTGGAGGTGGATTCGGTGGTCCGGCAATACAGGGTTTCGGATCGTTTCTCCCTCCACCACCACCTCCACAATCTGGCGGAATCTTCAGTAGGCTGTTCGGCCGAAGCAGTGGCGGTGGATTTTTCTCTGGTCGTAAGTATCCTTCATGGTCTGATGTTTGACTGAATGTCTATGAGATATACAACAATAATGACAGTCCTTTCTCTGATTGTACAAGAGACGCAAGTGATAAGCAACTTTTAATACAAAAATTAAACAGCCATATAATGAATTAAACTGCACCATACAGCTGTTTCGTCCTTCTAGGACTCGTTTTTCATATTTAAGTACTGATATGCTAACTTCATTGATTGAGCTCAGGTGTGTAAAAGTATCACACGTTCATTTATTTTGTTCTTATCAATGATCCCAACTTGTTTCTTTTTCAGTTTTTGGGAAGAAGAAGTAAGCACATTTTGAAAGTGGATACCTGGTTGACGAGAATTCCACCAAGGCTACGCCGTGTGTGGACTCCATGAAGTAAATGAAGCAAATTTATTCGGGATTCTAGGATTGAAAAGCATTAATATCTTTATTTCAATTTTTCCACATTAAAACGAATCTCGATCGGAGCAAAATACCATTTGGATTGTACGCTTTCGGTGATGACGCTACCCATAACAGCACTACACAATGCTGATAAATCTAGTGAGAAAAACCGCACTCTACACAATGCTGATAAATCTAGTGAGAAAACCAAACTCTACACAATACTGATAAATCTAATGAGAAATCCACACTCTACACAATACTGACAAATCTAGTAAGAAAAACCGCACTCTACACAATGCTGATAAATCTAGTGAGAAAACCAAACTCTACACAATACTGATAAATCTAATGAGAAATCCACACTCTACACAATACTGATAAATCTAGTGAGAAAAACCGCACTCTACACAATGCTGATAAATCTAGTGAGAAAACCGCACTCTACACAATGCTGATAAATCTAGTGAGAAAACCAAACTCTACACAATACTGATAAATCTAGTGAGAAATCCGCTCTCTACACAATGCTGATAAATCTAGTTAGAAAACCAAACTATGCACAATGCTGATAAATCTAGTGAGAAAACCGCACTCTACACAATAATACATCTTTGGGATACTTTGTTTCAACAATTATGTCCATTTGTACTGATCTAACTTAGATAAATAGTAAACATTAAACGTCTGTGGTAATATATCATACCAGTCCCCATCAGGAAGTCACAGTTATAAAATGGTTCCCAGTGTGATTTGTTAGTAATAATTATCTCCCTTGCAGGCAAGGGGTAGTTTTTACGTTAGCTATATATGCCTATTACCTATTGTAGAAATCTTTGTAATATATTTTTTGTAATAAAAATAATTTTCAATATTTCACATTTAATGTGATGTCTTAATAAACTTGGCGTGAAATGATTGCCATGTTCTCAAGCAACCTACTATTAAACTAAAAATGGCTTTGTATCTTACGACGGGGTTTGTTATTGTTTCGATGTTTAAGTAAAATGGTGAAATATGTGATATGTACAGCACACCAAAGACCAGGGATCCATGAAAGAGTTGTGGTATTGGCCTGTATTAGATGATGAAAACGCCACGAAGGCTGGAGGTTTTTATCAACCAGCTTCTAGATGGAGGCGGTAAGTTCAAGTATCAAATATTGATATGAAGAAGATCGTGACAAATAAGTATAAACAGTCGCTGCGAAATTAGTAAACGTGCTAAAAAGGAAAGAAAATATCGATATTTCAACAAAAACTTCATTCAAGTATGAACAGAGGATACGTTACATGGATATCAGTAGAAAAGAAAATAGGTCCAGGTGTTCGACAACACTTCCTATGTAAATCTTAGTCAATCCAAGAAAAATTGTCACGTTTCATCCGTCCTTTTTGGATTGACGTATGTTGTGATGTTTCTTACAAAGATTGTACAATAGACACACAAGTGAATAGCATCTTCTATTACAAATTTCTAGTTGGATTCAGTGAAGTTAAGAATAAAAATAAATCGAGCAGCAGTTTCTTCCTTCTAGAACTAGTTAATGATGCTAAGGGACAATGAGGCGACTGATGAAATCCCAAAGTGATCGATGAAAAAGTCAAAATTTAGATAAGGAGATGCATTAGACCAACAATTACGCTTCAGTATAACTCATGACTATATATTTATTCCATCTTTGGAAAGGAAGCTCGCATAACAAGAAACCTAAAGGGCCTTATTGGTCACCTGATTTGGTCGAGTTTCTTTCCTTCAAACAATAAAAGTATTAAAAAACATGATGGCCATTTTCCCCTTGACGCCCCATCAATTAGACCCTAGGTTGTCAAACCCACCGTTTAAAAAAAAGTCCCATTCACAAAAAACGCTTATGACTGATCAAAACATCTTCACTTAAACAGAAGACGAAAGATTGTAAAGTTTTCTCGTATTTTGTCCCATACCTTTGTTCTCTGGGTAGAACCATTGTATGCACAAAAAAGAGTTTACAACTGAGTCTTCTTCTCCCAAGGATGCTTCAGACAAAATCCAACAATTCCTACAGAAGAATATCTGTTGATGTGCTTAATGTCTCCAATCGTCTCAAGTGCCTTTGGCCACTGCAGATGAAGACTCATCATCTATACAAAATTACTTCCCCTTCACCCTTGGAAGGTTCAGACCGAATTTTGACAAATACCTTCACCCTACCTGCAAAAAGGGTTTTAAAACATATATTTTCATTTCCCTTATTGAGCCCTGCCCTTAGGCCCGATGATCTGAGACACATCATTTATTAAAAAAAATGGACCAATAACCTTAATCTCAGCAGAACGATTTTAAAAACTATCCTTTTATCTCATGTTGCCAAAGATGGTCTGACCTACCATTTATTGAGTTTTCTGCACCCAGACTAACTTTGGGCCAAAATTCCCGTAGAAGAGTTTTTTTTTTAAGATTCCTAGTCATTGTCTATTTTTGGATTCACCGCTGAAGAACCTAAGGGCCAGGACTTATCATTTGAAAGAAAACTGATTTCCTTTCCCTCAGAATGCTGCTGACCAAATTTGGTGAAAATCTACTCAGTCATTTTGATTAATAGCAATTCAATTCATTGAAAAAGGTGACGGATAATGCAGCCCGTGATATGGGCAAGACTGTTGCTAAGAACATCAGAACAAAGGCGTTACATTAGTTTGAAATGGAATGTGGTTGCAACAGAGTGGAAAATAAAATGTTCTTAAAGAAATGTTTTTCGTATGAGAAAGTTCAAGATTGGGTAAACGCTCTTTGGAGTTCTTTAAAATCAACATACCAGTTTTACAATAAGACAAAAACCCAGATTTGATAGAAGTTTCATAACGTTTTGGTTAAAACAAGTAGATGAGCAAACAATAAAACACATATGTTCATATGAATTATTGTGAAATCAAAGAATCCAGTATAAACAGGGGAAGTCTGAAGTGTTACCAATAACAGGCAAGATTAGACAGCATTTCTTTGGAAACCTTGGATAATATGTAGGTAGGGTTTCTATCATTATCAAGCATAGTATGTAGAAATGTCTGTAGATAAGGATCCATGGACGTGTTTCATAACATTTAGGACCCCTCATGAACAGATCCTGTAGCTTAACATTTAAATCGCCAGTTACTGTGTGTCCTACAGGATCATTGTTATAAGTAGAGGATGTACTACAGCATGTTGAAGGCGGATAAATGTCTTGTTCTTCATCGACAACATCCACTACATAAGTCTTGGTCAATTTGGGTAAGAAATGTAATGTTCATAAATCAAAACAAGGTTAACAACAATAGAACCAACGGGCATATCCTACCTACTATCAAATAGACAGCATAAAATATAAATAGGTATCTAAAAGGGGCACTGTGGTAAAACCACCTGAGGACGTCCAGGAGGAGTTGGTAAAACCACCTGAGAACGTCCAGGAGGAGTTGGTAAAACCACCTGAGGACGTCCAGGAGGAGTTGGTAAAACCGCCTGAGGACGTCCAGGAGGAGTTGGTAACAGAACTACCAGAGGAGGACCAGGAGGAGTTGGTAACAGAACTACCAGAGGAGGACCAGGAGGAGTTGGTAACAGAACTACCAGAGGAGGACCAGGAGGAGTTGGTAACAGAACTACCAGAGGAGGACCAGGAGGAGTTGGTAACAGAACTACCAGAGGAGGACCAGGAGGAGTTGGTAACAGAACTACCAGAGGAGGACCAGGAGGAGTTGGTAACAGAACTACCAGAGGAGGACCAGGAGGAGTTGGTAGCAGAACCATCAAAGGATGACTAGCATGAGTTGGTAGCAGAACCATCAGAGGAGGACCAGGAGGAGTTGGTAACAGAACTACCAGAGGAGGACCAGGAGGAGTTGGTAACAGAACTACCAGAGGAGGACCAGGAGGAGTTGGTAACAGAACTACCAGAGGAGGACCAGGAGGAGTTGGTAACAGAACTACCAGAGGAGGACCAGGAGGAGTTGGTAACAGAACTACCAGAGGAGGACCAGGAGGAGTTGGTAACAGAACTACCAGAGGAGGACCAGGAGGAGTTGGTAGCAGAACTATCAGAGGATGACTAGCATGAGTTGGTAGCAGAACTATCACAGAACTACCAGAGGGAGGAACCATCAAAGGATGACTAGCCAGGAAGGAATTGGTAGCAGAACCATCAAAGGATGACTAGCATGAGTTGGTAGCAGAACTACCAGAGGAGGACCAGGAGGAATTGGTAGCAGAACCATCAAAGGATGACTAGCATGAGTTGGTAGCAGAACCATCAAAGGATGACTAGCATGAGTTGGTAGCAGAACTATCAGAGGAGGACCAGGAGGAGTTGGTAACAGAACTACCAGAGGAGGACCAGGAGGAGTTGGTAGCAGAACCATCAAAGGATGACTAGCATGAGTTGGTAGCAGAACTATCAGAGGAGGACCAGAAGGAATTGGTAGCAGAACCATCAAAGGATGACTAGCATGAGTTGGTAGCAGAACTACCAGAGGAGGACCAGGAGGAATTGGTAGCAGAACCATCAAAGGATGACTAGCATGAGTTGGTAGCAGAACTATCAGAGGAGGACCAGAAGGAATTGGTAGCAGAACCATCAAAGGATGACTAGCATGAGTTGGTAGCAGAACTACCAGAGGAGGACCAGGAGGAATTGGTAGCAGAACCATCAAAGGATGACTAGCATGAGTTGGTAGCAGAACTATCAGAGGAGGACCAGGAGGAATTGGTAGCAGAACCATCAAAGGATGACTAGCATGAGTTGGTAGCAGAACTACCAGAGGAGGACCAGGAGGAATTGGTAGCAGAACCATCAAAGGATGACTAGCATGAGTTGGTAGCAGAACTATCAGAGGAGGACCAGGAGGAATTGGTAGCAGAACCATCAAAGGATGACTAGCATGAGTTGGTAGCAGAACTACCAGAGGAGGACCAGGAGGAATTGGTAGCAGAACCATCAAAGGATGACTAGCATGAGTTGGTAGCAGAACTATCAGAGGAGGACCAGGAGGAGTTGGTAGCAGAACTATCAGAGGATGACTAGCATGAGTTGGTAGCAGAACTACCAGAGGAGGACCAGGAGGAATTGGTAGCAGAACCATCAAAGGATGACTAGCATGAGTTGGTAGCAGAACTACCAGAGGAGGACCAGGAGGAATTGGTAGCAGAACCATCAAAGGATGACTAGCATGAGTTGGTAGCAGAACTATCAGAGGAGGACCAGGAGGAGTTGGTAACAGAACTATCAGAGGATGACTAGCATGAGTTGGTAGCAGAACTACCAGAGGAGGACCAGGAGGAGTTGGTAGCAGAACCATCAAAGGATGACTAGCATGAGTTGGTAGCAGAACTATCAGAGGAGGACCAGGAGGAGTTGGTAACAGAACTACCAGAGGAGGACCAGGAGGAGTTGGTAACAGAACTACCAGAGGAGGACCAGGAGGAGTTGGTAACAGAACTACCAGAGGAGGACCAGGAGGAGTTGGTAACAGAACTATCAGAGGAGGACCAGGAGGAGTTGGTAACAGAACTATCAGAGGAGGACCAGGAGGAGTTGGTAACAGAACTATCAGAGGAGGGTCAGGAGTTGGAATCATTCTACTCTTTCTAATCTTTGAAGCCTAAACTGGACATCACAATGTGAGACTGATCATTAGATATTGCTGAACACACCAACAGAAATCCAACCTATGCTACCATCTTGACACACTCCATCTTCTAGGTATCTACTACATCCTTAGCCATTCTTCAGCTGAACAAAGGATTCCCGTAACAATAGTAGGAAAACCTACACAATATTCTGATACCAGGACATGTTTTCTTCTTCGGGACCTTCCTGACCTTCCTGGAGGTTATCCTAGTTTATCCAATACCATGTCTGTCCTTATATGGTTATTTTATTCATATCTCTTATGTTTACTCAGATCTATACTACACTGTACTAAATTATATATATCGTATGTATCTTTCACCCTACATTCTTATGTTCTCAGCCACTGAAGAGGTTTTTTATCATTTCTCTCATACATTTTACGCTTATATAACTTATTATAATATATTCTCTGATTTTGAACCAGTTACTATACAGCTATGCTTGTTTTCCTTAACCACTTCCTTACTTACTTATTGATAACGTCAGGATTTATAGTTGTAATCAGATGACCTCTGTTGTCACTCCTGGTTGTTTATCATGCAAGCTGTGCCTGATGACAGCCTACTTAAGGCCGAAACATGTCAACAACTAGTTCTAGGAGATAGAAGATAGAATAAACTTTGATATGGAATGGATTTGCAGTGCTGTCTTCTCTCCTGCATCGCCAAAGGAGGTTAGTGATTATTTCTACTTGATTTACTGAAGATTGCTTGTTCCTGAAACTTTCCAAATAATGTTGTTTTTAACCAATTCAATCTTGAAATTGTGACAACAAAAACAGGTTACCTATTGGTGATACAGTTATATATCATTGATGTGTTTCTGTGATATCTTTATCCTCCTGAAAGTTATGGACCAGGAAAGAATGCAGTGCAAGTACAACCAGCAGTAATCTCCCTTGATAAAACTTTACCTCCTTGGTACCTTTTTCCTGTCTAGATTTGTCAAACTTAGAAGAAAAACATTTTTATATGATTAGTCTAACAAATATTTCAGCTAAAAATCCCTGACAGGTACGTAAAGCAGTAATGTATTAAGAAAGAGAAAAAACAACCTTGTTTGATGTAATTTATCTTCTTTTAATGAATTACTCGACTGTCTTCAACAAGTCAATCAAATAACATGAGGGAACTTTTAAAATCAACAAATAAATTCTATGTTTATAATTAATCACCTCCATGTAATACATGTGACCTGACATGTGTCACCAGGACTATACTAGTAATAACATCTAGCCCTTCCCATGATTGGTGTCATCAATAAAATTTGATAGATCATTTCCTTATACGGATAGAAGTGATTTGTTTTAGGATCAAGAGGTTAAGTAGATGTGCAGAAATCTTGTATATATGGCCTTTTTGTTGGACAGATTTTCCATGAACACATTATCTAGACAGTGTGAGTGTGTGCTATCTAATACACCTAATTGCAGACATCCTCCCAAACCCATTTTGCCCCAACTTTTATTCATTATGCCCCATTTTCTTAACTGTTTCTGATTAAATTGGCAAAATTTTCATATGGCCCCTAATCCTTTCACCCCTTAAAGCTATATCGCCCCACAAGGTTACTTGCTCGAAAAGACAAAAACCATAACAATATCTAACATGTCTAACATAAATTTCTATCATATCTATCATCGTCTATTTCTTTTTGGAAAACAAAAAAGTGAAATCAAGCATGGTAATGAGATCACTCTTTATATAGCCTTTATTTTGAGAGCACTGGTTGTTACAAACAAATATTGATTTTAATTTGAACACTTTTTGCAACAGAAGTTAAATTTATGTACCAAATACAGTGATTAAATATGAACTTTCGATGAGGCCAAACTGTTTTGAAACATTGCAAATCCACTTGAAGATACAGATGTCTTTCACTCTCAGATAATTGTCTGAAATTGATATTTGTCTATAATGTTATGAAAACAACTTTTGCAGTGCAATATCATATGGCAAGTAAACTTAATATAGAACAACAACACTTGACTTTATTAATTGAGAACTGAGAAATATATACATGTCAGTGCTACCTTAGTTATTTCATTTTAACCATTTTTCAGGTGATATTTACTTTTGTTGCGTAACAAATTTTTGGGGCGTTATGGTTGGGGCATTATAAAGCAAATTTGGGGTGAAATAGCTTGGGGCAAAACGGTTATGGGGGAATGTCTGACACTCAATATACCATTTCAGAATCCATGTTTGTTGGTTCTGCTGAGATACGATAGATGGAATTTTGACATAATCAAAGAAAAAAAAATTACTGGATTTTTGTGAATCTTTTGAATTTGACAATTATGACTGAATATTAGTTTCTTGTTACACATACACATGGGACAAAAAATCAGATTATAGATTGATTTACAAATCAAATAAGAATAAATTTTGAAAGGATCTATGGTAATTTCATGGATACAGAACAGAGATGAAGGAATTCATAATCACAGGTACTGTAGTTTTAGTTTTCCGTGAAAGCAATGACACAAATTTGACCTTCAAAGATGGTAGAACATCTTTTTCAATAGAAACTCAAAATCAAATATCAGTGTATGAGAGTTGGAGCATGATAACACCCAACAGATGTACTTAAACTTAACACTAGAAGATATAAAGTAACAACACAGCAAAACTAGAAACTGGAAATAGCAGTTGTCTTTTAATCACATCAACTGACATACTCCTAAAAGTATTGCAACTCAAAGATAAGAGATAAAATCTTTATACAAAAGTTTGAAATTACATTTACAGAATCTTGATTATCTTTGAAAGTGTGCAGGGGTTTTTGAAAAGAGTGCACACACCTGTGTTAAGTCAAAATGATGGTAAAGTCGTGTTTTTGGAGAACAAAGCCTTTAATATTTATCATTGTGTATGTAGTATGTAAGATTTACCTCCTTTCTCAGTATTTTATCTTATTTTTTATCTTTCAGCCATTTTTCCAAGTCTTTTAGGTACTTCTTTTTATTAAATTTATCTTTCCTAGGGTGTTTCCCTAATTTGGATTCTGCTTCATTTAACATTGAATCAGCGTCCAAATCCTTGCTAAGCCTCATTAGCCTTTTTTCTGATATACCTCCTTTTTTCAGAAATTTTAAAAGTTCTGCTACAGATTTTTCACCACCTGTTTCTGTTTTTCCTATTGTTTTTGTTGGGCTGTCAGACTCCTCTATAAAAGTCTTCTCTCTTTTCAACTTGTCCGCAATACCTGCAAGTTCTGGTTCCTTTACAGACTGTGATTTAAGTTTGATTGTCTCGCTCCATGACAATTTTTTCAACAAGCATGTTACTAATCCAATTTCAATCCAAGTCTCCAGTTCTTTCTGGATGGCACGTACTCTGTGTTCCTCATGGTAAATTGTCGGAAAATACTTGCTGCAATTAAAAACAATCCTATTATGTATGTGAGAATTTCCTTTGCTAACAATCTATGTGTAAATGAATGTCTATTCCCTCCTCCTACAGAACTTCAGTATTTGTTAGGGTACCATCAACAGAACTTAGTTAGATATGATCATATTTCTTATTATTCTTATAATTCTTCTTCTGAAATTTGTGGAGTCCAAATCTTTTGATCAGTAAGAGATACGTTTACTGTTGATTTAGTACTTTGAAAGCACTATCTGAAGATATATGTGTAACATTTTTAAGTAGGTCATGAATCTATCATGGCCACCTGAAGTCACATGTTAAAAACTTTAAAAAATAGCCAGATCTCTACAATTATTGATTGTATAGGGTTTGTGCAATTATATTATTTGTCGATGATTTCCATATATAACTTTTCTCCATCACTTGTGAACACAGAATATGTCAATAAAGAAGAGGGTCATGGCTTTAATGGTCAACAACCAATGAATAGAAGGACAAACCACAAAATTCACTGATGGTGGTCGGACAAATCTGATGTATTCAAATATTGAACATTCCTTAAAAGTATCAGAAACTCATAAATGCTAGGTTCTGTTCATGAAAAACAGTTACACAATCATGTAACAAAATGGCTACTGTGGTTACTATGTTTAGGTTTTGATCAGATTGAAAACAACAACTATTCATCCCTTTTCTTTTCCTTAAAAAAACAAATTCCAAATATTTTCTAATTGATGTGAATGAAACTTAAGAAGAAGTTCAGACTATTTGTATTAGTTGAGTTATGTTGGTTTTGGACCAAAGCAAAAAAGTCAGATTTGGTCAGTACAATCTCGTGATTACTTTACGCACTTTGGATATCATTGCCACTCCCTGATAATGTTTCAGGCCAAATTTGATAGAAATCTATTCAGGCATTAAGAAGGAATACCGTTTTGAAGCAAAATATTGTCTAATTTCCCCTTTTAGGGCCCCATCCCCAAGTCCCTAGTGGTTGGATAAAATTTATGAATTCAAAATATATTTGACAACCTCTACTGATGCTACAAAATTTGAATGAAATCCATTGAAGCATTAAAGAAGAGTAGCATTTTGAAGTGAAGTATTGTCTAACTACCCTTTAGGGGCCCCACTCCCAGGTTCGTAGGGGTCAAATAAAAATATTTGAATTTAAGAAATTTTTTCCCAGCCCCCACTGATGTTTGAGACCAAATTTAGTTGATATCTGCCTAGGAGTTAAGCAGGAGTAGTGTTTTAAGATAAAGTTTATGGACGGCAAACAATAGATGGTTCATGGCGCAAGGCAACAGATCATGCACAATAGCAATAGGTCATCTGGACCCTTTGGGTCATATTACCTAAAAAGACTGAATTTGACAGCACAAAAACAATACGCCCCTGATCTTTTAATTTGGGGGCATAAAAATCTGAGAAAGAGTTGCAGTAGGTGTAAGTTTTTGAAAATGTTTGCTTAGTTTTAGTAACAGTTTACCCCAGGTGTACAGGTAATCAATTTTAGTGTCAAGCTTACCTGAACCACAGATAATTATCTAGGCACCCAAAGACAGCTTCCATCTCTCTCAGACCAGCTGTAGTTTCTGGCATCTTTAGAGGCCAGCCCAAAAGTCTCATCAACCACGTTATATTGATTGGCTCTTCATTGTAATGTTTCCTCGCACACTGTAAATCAGAATATTTTTCATGAGAAAAGTTACTACCTCTTTAAGAGCTCTATAATGATTGTTTGGGATCAGTTAGAATTTGTGGTTGGTACCGATACTGTGGTGAATTGATTTTAAGCTGACTTTAGTTATTGCCAACATATTTAATCAAGATTGTGGCCATATTTAATTTCAGAAGAATCCAAACAGGAGGCTCATGGCCATTAACAATCACCTGAGTAATGAAATATTTCAGTCAACTTGATCAATTTTGGTCCTGTCTATCTGCCTTGTAAATATGTGATTACTATCAATCTACTATCCCATATTAATAATTCTAACCAAGTGTTAATTATTTTTAATGGTTATTTAAACATATGATGCCCAAAAGTATGTTTTCTCTACAAACTGTGTTAAATTTAACCCTATCCCCAGGTTTAATGTCCACCATTACAGATTTCAGTACCTTAAAAACCTTATAAGTGGGCCATGGTTGTGTCAAGGTCATTCATTTAAACAAACTTGGTAGTCCTTCATCCCAGCATGCTAAAGGCCAAATATCAGCACCCTAGGCCTTTTGGTTACTGAGAAGTCATCATGTACAGGTTTTAACACATTGGACCCCTGTGATCATGAAAGATGGGCAATGTCATTCATGTTAACAAACTTGGTAGCCCTTAATTCGTCATTAGACTACTTCATTCAGGTTCATGTTTTTGGGTCAACACAGGTCAATGTCAAACAAAGTGTTTTTCTTTAATCCCTATCAATATCATCCTTCATTGAAAGTGTAATGGTTGTGATATGACCTACCTCTATATATGCATTACACTCTTTTTCACTTTCGATGTCAATTGGTGCTTGTGAATAGAAGAAGCGGTCTCTCATGGGCAGTCCAATCTCATCCACTATGATCGCTAGTTGTTTCATCTGATGTAGGTCGCACATGAAAAAGTTTTCCGTGTCGTGTTTAGCCATGGATTCAAATGTATCCTAAAACACATTGAAAAATCAAGCCATCAGACCATAGAACAACACTATTCCCTCTGTATAGATGGTTTTATAAGCCACATGTTAACATGTTAAACCTATAAAAAATCTGTAAAGTATCATTTGCCATATTTTAATGCATGTCATTGTTAATGCTTGACAACTTGTGATAAAAACTTGAGGCTGAATATTTCAACTTCTCAAACTTCAGCAAATCCTTGGAAATGCAATGACATTACAGTATGTAAGACACAATTTTCACACTTTTCTAAAACACAAATTAAACATATTTCACATATCACAGCAAAGCAAGTGCTTGTAGCATTCTAGTTAAACAGTTACCTATTTTCAGGCCTTCAAAGTAGCCCCTGCCATTAGGTCAAAATTCTAATGAGGAGAAAGGTCAAGTAACGCTTTCACTTGGCAGAAGTGACATGATTGGGAAGATCTCCCCTTGTAAGCAATAAGATGTGTGTTTTACTCTTACATTTCTTGTATATTCTCAAAAACAGATACATTTGGAAGTGAAGATACCGCATGGTGGACATGTATGAGACCCATGTATATTCCATGTCCATGTGAAGCAGTCAGATTATGGAAATCACACAATATTCATCTGTATTATAAAAATTTGACTGAATACTGCACCATTTAAAACAAAGACCTGACTGGTAGATGTCTATGTCTGTCTTTATAAACAACCATGAGATGCGATAATGTACGAGGGCTGATTGATAAGTTCTGAGCCTCATATTTAAAGGTTTTATTTTTGGCGGACATATTGCATTATTTTTCAAAAGATCCCCTTCAGTATCTATACACTTTTGCCTGCCACGCTTAAATTCAGACACCCACCTTTTCACTGTAGCATATAAAGGGGCATCATTCCCTAGTGTTGCTACCATATCAGTATGGATATACTTAGTTGTTAGATCTTTTAATGCAAATATTGATTCACTGCTCTTTCTGCAATTTTCTCAATTTTGCACTTGCCTTGTTTACTGTAAGAGAGCTACCACTTCGACATAAACTGACCAAATGACTTCAGTCTTCAGTAACACAGCCTTAAGAAGTCAGGGAATAGCAGAGCTGAAAAAGGAAATTCCTGCTTAACTTCTTCAATACAAGGCTCTTAACTTATCTATCAGCCCTCATAGATGTGTTCTCTTACTATCACCATAAATAAAACTTTCATTTTGTTACATACACTTGGCCATAAGTTAGGAACCACCCAATCTTTAGACTTGACTTTCGTTTGCTGTATTTAAGGAAATCATGCAAAGACAATTTAACAGGATATATAGGGATGTTTTGTTTTAATTATCTAACAAAACTGAGCACAATCTTCATTAATTTTTTTTTACAGAACCAGCAATGCTACACCATCTTGAATAGATATGTTTAAAAAGACGTTCTCAAAGTCAAGAAAAAAACTTGACTTAACCTGTCTCTCATTAACGGATCTGTTATAAAATTGCCACAACATGCTACTTGATCAAGAAGTTTAACTTATCAACAAATTTTGTTGGGTATGCAAATGTCAATATCAGGTGAAGTCACTGCTTCTAGTAAAAGTCTTGTCTGTCATTTATACCACTGACCAGATGCCAAAGCTTGGTCTGAGGAAACCTTGAGTCTTTGGCATTTAGGTCTTGTGTACTGACCTTTTAACTAAAAGAGTCCTGCAAATGCTCAATTGGCTTGAAGGTCATAGGAGCACCTATATCACTTCTTTTTGAAGAAAGTCCTGCGCTAGACCGGCTCTGTGCGGTTTGGCATTGTCATCCATTAGGATAAGATGATCTGCCAATGGATGGCCATAAAAATGATGAAAAACCAAAAAGTCCGACGATCTGATCACGATACTTCTGCCCATTCAAAGTTTCATCAAGGACATGCAAGCGTAGCTTATAGTTTAGAGAAATGTATCCCAAACAGTAAAACCAAACACTGTTGTGCCCAGAATGTGATTCTGATGATATGCTGTATTTCTTGGTCAATAAACATAAACCCTGCCATCTGTCAGACTAAGTAATAAAATGGCTTTCATCAGATTAGTGGACTCTTTGCCAAGACTTAATATTCTATGTGTTGCCTATTGAGACTCAAACATTGACGCTCTACTGTCTTCTGGGCCTGTAGGCAGTGACCATGGAGCTTGCCTTGCATCTATACAGAAGTTAATCTTCTTTATGTGAAGTCTTTCGAGGTCTGCCAGACCTGGGACACTTATCACTATGCCCTCTTTGCTTCAGACGATCAATTTACCAAGAAATAACAGATGCAAATGCTACTTTAGGTGACAAAGTGAACTTATTTTTTGAGTATGGGGTACCTCAATATAGTACTGGTTATCATGGAGTTGGGTATATCCCTTCATGTCATACAGCACCAAACACAAAATGTGACACTGCAAGGAGTACAACAATCAGTTTTGATAAAAATTTTCCTACAGATATTGATGGTCTCTTATGGCCATGTGTACAGAAAAAGAAATCAAAAGAATTGGTGGTTTAATCCCATAACCACATGGCTGTCACATTCTATGCATGTCTTAAGTATGGAATTCAACAGATTTTTTGGCTGATCTATGGCTATTTGTCCTAGCGGCTATTGACATGAAGTCAATTCTGATGTCACAAATCTAAAAACAATTATATGAGCAAAATAAATAAAATTGTGAAAAATTGTGTCTTTCTTCATTTAAATCATTGACTCTCTTTGTTTCTTCAACATAACAGCTAGTAACCTTAACCATCATATTCTTGAAACTCAGCAGAGCTATTTTGATACTTTGTATCAACTTTGATCTTGAATTACAACACTGACAGAGGTTAGTAAGGGCCCTGCTTTCTGCTTTACCATATGCTCCTATAATCATCCTAGACACTGAACAAAGTAGCTCAACACCTGACAAACTTTACCATGTGCTCCTATAATCAGCAAACTAGCAAAACCGGTCAGCAACCAATAAAAAGTATACCACTCACTTAACCCTTGAAGCTGGTTAATGTTGAGAACATTCCTGCTTATGATGTAATGATGCTATTAAGTGACTACCTAGGTACCTGTTAGTATCCATTCTCTAGCAATTTAGCTACCTAAGAACCCTACTTCTGAATGGATGAGGGTTGAATAATTCTCTCCTTTTAGATATGTCAAACTGACAAAATGTCCCACTGCCAGTCAAAATGTTTGGAACCTTTTAATTTATTGGCTATGTTCGGAGAGGAACTCATGACTCCTGAAAAGAAATTAGCATCCTGCCTGTAGAACCAATGGTAAGAATCAGAAAAAAAACTGAAGTTCTGCTTGTAAACATTTACAAAATATCCATTTCAGTTCTACATCTCCATACCAAATTTCAATTCTATTTCTGTATCTAATAAAGAGTTAATCAACACAAAGGAAATTCTGACAGAATGCTGCAAGAGGTAAAATTCATTCCTTGATATTGGTGAAAAAGTCCAAGAGGAATTGTCTTGACAAAGATACAGGCTATTCTCTAACAAAGGGCCATAACTCCTAAGAAAGAGGCCCATAAAAATGATTCCCTGATATGTAATATTAATGAATGTTATGTTATTAAGGTTCAGTGAAATTGGATAAAAAACTAGTTAAGTTATCCTGACAATGATTGAGTGATATTTTTCAACAGAAAAAAATTGGTTAGAATGGGCCTAGTTGGACAGCATGATGATGGTGGGCAGGCTAAAAGCTATCAATACTAATTCTTTGGGATAATCAGGAGGTGAAAATCACTCTGCAGTATCTTATGTCTCGTGAACCCTTTCCTCCATTATATATATATATATTACCCAACACTTACCAGAAGTTCTTTGAGGGAAGCATCAGGAAGCTGATAGGAAAACATTTCCATTTGTTCAGGTGTGGGCTTCAATCCTGCAGACTACGGAGAGTCAAAACAAAACAGTTTGTAAATACAAGGTAAAATACACACCAGTAGAGACTGTCAGCAATAGGCCACAAGCTACTTCACCAGTAAGACAAGCAGCTACTGTCCTTATAACTAAGACACAAGCTACTTCACCAGTAAGACCAACAGCTACTGTCCTTATAACTAAGACACAAGCTACTTCACCAGTAAGACCAACAGCTACTGTCCTTATAACTAAGACACAAGCTATTTCACCAGTAAGACCAATGGCTACTGTCCTTATAACTAAGACACAAACTACTTCACCAGTAAAACAAGCAGCTACTAACCTTATAACTAAGACACAAACTATTTCACCAGTAAGACCAATGGCTACTGTCCATATAACTAAGACACAAGCTTTTCACCAGTAGGACAAACAGCTACTGTCCTTATAACTAAGACACAAGCTACTTCACCAGTAAGACCAACAGCTACTGTCCTTATAACAAAGATACAAGCTACTTCACCAGTAAGACAAACAGCTACTGTCCTTATAACCAGACACAAGCTTCAGCTACTGTCCTTATAACTAAGACACAAGCTACTTCACCTGTAAGACAAACAGCTACTGTCCTTATAACTAAGATACAAGCTATTTCACCAGTAATACAAACAGCTACTGTCCTTATAACTTAGACACAAGCTACTTCACCAGTAATACAAACAGCTACTGTCCTTATAACTAGACACAAGCTTCTTCACCAGTAAGACCAACAGCTACTGTCCTTATAACAAAGATACAAGCTACTTCACCAGTAAGACAAACAGCTACTGTCCTTATAACTAGACACAAGCTTCAGCTACTGTCCTTATAACTAAGACACAAGCTACTTCACCTGTAAGACAAACAGTTACTGTCCTTATAACTAAGATACAAGCTATTTCACCAGTAATACAAACAGCTACTGTCCTTATAACTTAGACACAAGCTACTTCACCAGTAATACAAACAGCTACTGTCCTTATAACTAAGACACAAGCTACTTCACCAGTAAGACAAACAGCTACTGTCCTTATAACAAAGATACAAGCTACTTCACCAGTAATACAAACAGCTACTGTCCTTATAACAAAGATACAAGCTACTTCACCAGTAAGACAAGTAGCTACTGTCCTTATATCTGAGACACAAGCTACTTCACCAGTAAGACAAACAGCTACTGTCCTTATAACTAAGATACAAGCTACTTTATCAGTAAGATAAGTAACTACTCTCGTTATAACTAAGATACAAGTTACATTACCATGAAGGCCTGTATATACTGTCCTTATAACTCAGATAAAAGTACCTCGTCATAAAGACCAGTTGATACTGTCCTTATAATTAAGTTACAAGTTGCCTCACTATAAAGGCCAGTAACTACTGTCATTACAACTCAGATACAAGTGTACTACTTTACCTTTATAGGTGTGACCTCCCGTCTGAAAAGTTTATATAAATCTGGAAGATCTGACTTTCTGAAGGTTGTCACTTCTCCATTTGGATACCTGGTCCCAAATCTGCCTGAGCGGCCTGCGATATGTTTTGCTTCCGAGGCATTGATAATTCTGTGTACTGTCTTTCCATTATGTGCAGATTTTTTCTTTGTTAATGTGTAGAATATAATCCTTCCAATGTTGCTGAAAAAAAGACACAAAGGATCTTAGCGTCCACCAACATGTGGACTATACTGGTTCTTTATAGGATGGATATTTTCTCTTTTCCCCCCTAATATCAAGTCTCCATTATACATTGCATTGATATGTGATCTAATTATATGGTAACATCAATAAACAAAGGAAACCTACATTATGGATTAACACAAGAGGCCCATAGGGCCTGTTTTGTTCTCTTGGCTTTGCTTGGCTGAAATTGCTTCATTAAAACTAAAGGAAAAAAAATTCTAAATATCTAAGCACATGATAAAACGTATATCTATTTTCTTATTGGACTTCTACCCTCTGTCCTTAAGGGGTCAGCTAAACCATTCATTTTTTACAGACCAAATCATTCCTACAGTAGAAGTAGTATTTTAAAGAATTTGCCCCATTTTCAAATTTGGCCAGGCTCTTCCCGCTCCAGGGGGCAAAGACCCATGGTTTATGCAAAATTCATTTCCCTTCACTCAAGAACATATCAGACCAAATTTGGACAAACTAGATTCTTTCCTACTGGAGGAGTAGGATTTTAAAGAATTTTCTCTATTTCCTCTATTGGGTCCTGCCCCTCCTGTCTCTGGGAGGAGAAATACACTGTTTACACAAAATAATTATTTTTCCCCCCAACAATGCTTAAGAGCAAAATTTGGGCTAAATCAAATCAAGATAGACGACAGATTTCATTATTCACACCAAATTATACCATTAACAGTTTCAAAAAAACGAACAGTGATGTTATTGCTTTAAATTAAATCTGATTAATTTATCTTCCTTCAAGTAGAGGAAGTATGATTTTAAAGATGTTTCTGACCCTTCCCTCAGGCCTTAGGAGTTAGACCTATTGTTTTGACAAAATAAGTTCTGTTTCCTCCAAGGATGTTTTGAACCAAATTTGGAAGACAATCTGTAATTCCTAGAGTAGAATAATTTTGAAGTAAATGTAAATGCCTTTATTTCATCTACCGGTATTAGGCCCCAACCATCTGCCCCAGAGAAGGTAGGTAAACAATGTTTGGATAAAGGTTTACAATATCTGTATAAAGGTAAACAATGACTGTATAAAGGTAAACAATATCTGTATAAAGGTTAACAATATCTGTATAAAGGTAAACAATGACTGTATAGAGGTAAACAATGACTGTATAGAGGTAAATAATGACTGTATAGAGGTAAACAATGTCTGTATAAAGGTTAACAAGGTCTGTATTAAGGTAAACAATATCTGTATAAAGGTTAACAATATCTGTATAAAGGTAAACAATGTCTGTATAAAGGTTAACAATGACTGTATAAAGGTTAACAAGGTCTGTATAAAGGTAAACAATGTCTGTATAAAGGTAAACAATATCTGTATAAAGGTTAACAAGGTCTGTATAAAGGTAAACAATGTCTGTATAAAGGTAAACAATGTCTGTTTAAAGGTAAACAATGTCTGTATAAAGGTAAACAAGGTCTGTATAAAGGTTAACAATGTCTGTATTAAGGTTAACAAGGTCTGTATAAAGGTAAACAATGTTTGTATAAAGGTTAACAAGGTCTGTATTAAGGTAAACAATATCTGTATTAAGGTTAACAATGTCTGTATAAAGGTAAACAATGTCTGTATAAAGGTAAACAATGTCTGTAGACAATGTCTGTTTAAAGGTTAACAATGACTGTATAAAGGTAAACAATGTCTGTATAAAGGTAAACAATGTCTGTATAAAGGTAAACAATGTCTGTATAAAGGTTAACAATGACTGTATAAAGGTAAACAATGTCTGTATAAAGGTAAACAATGTCTGTATAAAGGTTAACAAGGTCTGTATAAAGGTTAACAAGGTCTGTATTAAGGTAAACAATGTCTGTATTAAGGTAAACAATGTCTGTATAAAGGTTAACAAGGTCTGTATTAAGGTAAACAATATCTGTATTAAGGTTAACAATGACTGTATAAAGGTAAACAATATCTGTATAAAGGTAAACAATGTCTGTATAAAGGTAAACAATGTCTGTATAAAGGTAAACAATGTCTGTATAAAGGTAAACAATGACTGTATAAAGGTAAACAATGTCTGTATAAAGGTAGACAATGTCTGTTTAAAGGTTAACAATGACTGTATAAAGGTAAACAATATCTGTATAAAGGTAAACAATGTCTGTATAAAGGTAAACAATGTCTGTATAAAGGTAAACAATGTCTGTATAAAGGTTAACAATGACTGTATAAAGGTAAACAATGTCTGTATAAAGGTAAACAATGTCTGTATAAAGGTAAACAATGTCTGTATAAAGGTAAACAATGTCTGTATAAAGGTAAACAATGTCTGTATAAAGGTAAACAATATCTGTATAAAGGTAAACAATGTCTGTATAAAGGTAAACAATGACTGTATAAAGGTAAACAATGTCTGTATTAAGGTTAACAATGACTGTATAAAGGTAAACAAGGTCTGTATAAAGGTAAACAATGTCTGTATAAAGGTTAACAAGGTCTGTATAAAGGTAAATAATGTCTGTATAAAGGTTAACAAGGTCTGTATAAAGGTAAATAAGGTCTGTATAAAGGTTTACAAGGTCTGTATAAAGGATAACAATGTCTGTATAAAGGTAAACAAGGTCTGTATAAAGTTAACAAGGTCTGTATAAAGGTAAACAATGTCTGTATAAAGGTAAACAATATCTGTATAAAGGTAAACAATGTCTGTATAAAGGTTAACAATGTCTGTATAAAGGTAAACAATGTCTGTATAAAGGTTAACAAGGTCTGTATAAAGGTAAACAATGTCTGTATAAAGGTAAACAATGACTGTATAAAGGTTAACTATGTCTGTATAAAGGTAAACAAAGTCGTTTTATCAGTTGACAAGTTCAGCATATAGGTATCAAGTCTGAACATAATCCAATTGGTCTAAAACAGAAATTTCACATATAATGAAAATAATTTCTGATGTCTATGGAGTATATAGAGGCATGCTAACTCACAGATTTACACCCATCCCAATGGCATCTGTAGCCACCAACACTTTACACGGGTCCAGGGGATCGTTGAATTTTCTGGCTTGGGCAATCTTTGTTGCTGTGAAAAGAAGAAGACAACAGTTACATGGGTGTGGTAGTTTCAGGAAAATACAAGTGAGTTACATCTGTACTTATTCTGGTCCAATAGTAACTACACTCAGTGAAACTATATGTAAAAACATTTTTTTTATATATATATACTCTAAGAATAACTAAGACAAGAGATCCCACTGATTTTGGAATCCACCGTTTAACACGAGATTCCAGAGAGATTGTGGTACCCACCGTTAACATGAGATCCCAGAGAGATTGTGGTACCACCGTTTACATGAGATCCCAGAGAGACCTTGGCATCTACCATTAACATGAGATCACAGAGACACCTTGGCATCTACCATTAACATGAGATCCCAGAGACACCTTGGCATCTACCATTAACATGAGATCCCAGAGACACCTTGGCATCTACCATTAACATGAGATCCCAGAGACACCTTGGCATCTACCATTTACATGAGATCCCAGAGAGACCTTGGCATCTACCATTAACATGAGATCCCAGAGACACCTTGGCATCTACCATTAACATGAGATCCCAGAGACACCTTGGCATCTACCATTAACATGAGATCCCAGAGACACCTTGGCATCTACCATTTACATGAGATCCCAGAGAGACCTTGGCATCTACCATTTACTTGAGATCCCAGAGACACCTTGGCATCTACCATTTACATGAGATCCCAGAGAGACCTTGGCATCTACCATTAACATGAGATCCCAGAGACACCTTGGCATCTACCATTAACATGAGATCCCAGAGACACCTTGGCATCTACCATTAACATGAGATCCCAGAGACACCTTGGCATCTACCATTAACATGAGATCACAGAGACATCGTGGCATCTATCATTAACATGAGATCCCAGAGACACCTTGGCATCTACCATTAACATGAGATCCCAGAGACACCTTGGCATCTACCATTAACATGAGATCCCAGAGACACCTTGGCATCTACCATTTACATGAGATCCCAGAGAGACCTTGGCATCTATCATTAACATGAGATCCCAGAGAGATTGTGGTACCCACCATTAACATGAGATCACAGAGACACCTTGGCATCTACCATTAACATGAGATCCCAGAGACACCTTGGCATCTACCATTAACATGAGATCCCAGAGACACCTTGGCATCTACCATTAACATGAGATCCCAGAGACACCTTGGCATCTACCATTAACATGAGATCACAGAGACATCGTGGCATCTATCATTAACATGAGATCCCAGAGACACCTTGGCATCTACCATTAACATGAGATCCCAGAGACACCTTGGCATCTACCATTAACATGAGATCCCAGAGACACCTTGGCATCTACCATTAACATGAGATCCCAGAGAGACCTTGGCATCTACCATTAACATGAGATCCCAGAGACACCTTGGCATCTACCATTAACATGAGATCCCAGAGACACCTTGGCATCTACCATTAACATGAGATCCCAGAGACACCTTGGCATCTACCATTAACATGAGATCCCAGAGACACCTTGGCATCTACCATTAACATGAGATCCCAGAGACACCTTGGCATAACTATCATTAACATGAGATCCCAGAGAGATTGTGGTACCCACCATTAACATGAGATCACAGAGACACCTTGGCATCTACCATTAACATGAGATCACAGAGACACCTTGGCATCTACCATTTACATGAGATCCCAGAGAGATTGTGGTACCCACCATTACCATGAGATCCCAGAGAGACCTTGGCATCTACCATTAACATGAGATCACAGAGACATCGTGGCATCTACCATTAACATGAGATCCCAGAGACACCTTGGCATCTACCATTAACATGAGATCCCAGAGACACCTTAGCATCTACCATTAACATGAGATCCCAGAGACACCTTGGCATCTACCATTAACATGAGATCCCAGAGACACCTTGGCATCTATCATTAACATGAGATCCCAGAGAGATTGTGGTACCCACCATTAACATGAGATCACAGAGACACCTTGGCATCTACCATTAACATGAGATCACAGAGACACCTTGACATCTACCATTTACATGAGATCCCAGAGAGATTGTGGTACCCACCATTAACATGAGATCCCAGAGACACCTTGGCATCTACCATTAACATGAGATCCCAGAGACACCTTGGCATCTACCATTAACATGAGATCCCAGAATGACCTTGGCATCCATAACTGAATGACCTGATGAAGCTTTTGTATTTGCATGTCACAGTTTATTCAATATCAAAGACATGTTCCTAGTATCAAGTATTTTGTACAAGATGTTGTTAACTAACAGACAACTCATAACATAAGATTTCATGAGATACAGTTTGATGAAAGTTATGGGGAAATTTTATGGTTGACATAATGATCTCATGGAGAAATGTTATATATCCTTGTGTCATATGAAGCTGGATGTATTTGATGCTTGTTACTTTACCTGTTGGTTCTGTTGTTGTACACTATGTTCTCATTTAAGCCAGTATCAATACATGCATACCATCATAACTGTCATCCTAAACTAATAATTTCAAATGGTAAAAAAACAACATTATGATCAAAACTGCAATTTTTTTAAATAAAAATTATAGTAAAGTTAACCTCCTCAACAGGAGAAATGTGAGACAAATTTTGGTAAAGCACTTTAAGACGCTTCCATCCATGAAGAGCATTTGATCCTACCAAACCTGGGTGTTGAGAAGAATTTTGAAATTTAAGTCTGTCTGACCCCTTTTGGCATGTCAATCAGCCCCTGGAGGTCAACCAAGATCAATAAGGATCAATATCTACCATATCTTGGTGTTCAGAAGATTTTTGAAATCTGAGTCAATTTGACCCTTTGGCCCCACCCCTCAGGCCCCAATTTTGGTAATCTTAGGCCAGGGAAAGTTTCTGCAAAATTTCATTGAAATCAGTTCAGGCGTTTTTGAAAAGAAATTGATAATGTTAAAAAGTTTACGGACATACAAAGCTGGACAATGGTGAATGTGAAGGCTACCTAAAAAGTATTGACAATAGACTTCAAATTCCTAAATGCAATTTGACTGCCAGTTGGCCATTTCGTTTACTTAATCAGTCTCAAAATTAAAACTGGCACAACTACCAATCATGCTGCATACAGACATTGAGTAAATTCCCTCCAGTATTGTTAAAGCAATAGTGATAACAACGTATACTGTCAAAATGCAAGAAGGCTGCCCATCAAGCAGTTTGCATCACTGAATGGACTCCAAATGAGTACAACTAGTGACAGATCGGAATATGCTTTTGAAGTTTGGGAAATATCCATCACTTCTCAAGAAATAGCATTAACAATCCAAAGAACTATTTGTGGAAATTGACTGAAAGATTGGAACAGTTCTTCACCTGCTGATGAACAAAAAAGTGGTTTCTGCTGACTAAACAGTGTGCTCTACTTTTATTGACAGTAACTTATAAGGAACTGAACCTTACATAATATAATTCCAAAAGATGCCGTTACAATGGATATAGACAGAGTGATGAGTATTTCTTATAGCACTCAATAACAGTTGAGAGTCCTTCTGACATATAACATGGTCACCCTCTAGAGATATTTACCTGAGGGAAGGGTCATTCTGACATATAACAAGGTCACTCCCTTGTCATATTTACTTGGTGGAAGGGTCATTCTGACATATAGAAAGGTCACTCCCTTGTCATATTTACTTGGTGGAAGGGTCATTCTGACATATAGAAAGGTCACTCCCTTGTCATATTTACTTGGTGGAAGGGTCATTCTGACATATAGAAAGGTCACTCCCTCGCAATATTTATCTGAGGGAAGGGTCATTCTGACATATAAAAAGGTCACTACCTAGCAATATTTATCTGAGGGAAGGGTCATTCTGACATATAAAAAGGTCACTACCTAGCAATATTTATCTGAGGGAAGGGTCTGAGGGAAGGGTCATTCTGACATATAAAAAGGTCACTACCTAGCAATATTTATCTGAGGGAAGGGTCATTCTGACATATAAAAAGGTCACTACCTAGCAATATTTGCCTGAGGGAAGGGTCATTCTGACATATAACACAGTCACTCTATTGTGATATTTACCTGAGGGAAGGGTCATTCTGACATATAACACAGTCACTCTATTGTGATATTTACCTGAGGGAAGGGTCATTCTGACATATAACACAGTCACTCTATTGTGATATTTACCTGGTGGAAGGGTCATTCTGACATATAACACGGTCACTCTATTGTGATATTTACCTGGTGGAAGGGTCATTCTGACATATAACACGGTCACTCTATTGTGATATTTACCTGAGGGAAGGGTCATTCTGACATATAACACAGTCACTCTGGTGGAAGGGTCATTCTGACATATAACACAGTCACTCTATTGTGATATTTACCTGGTGGAAGGGTCATTCTGACATATAACACGGTCACTCTATTGTGATATTTACCTGGTGGAAGGGTCATTCTGACATATAACACGGTCACTCTATTGTGATATTTACCTGGTGGAAGGGTCATTCTGACATATAACACAGTCACTCTATTGTGATATTTACCTGGTGGAAGGGTCATTCTGACATATAACACAGTCACTCTATTGTGATATTTACCTGGTGGAAGGGTCATTCTGACATATAACAACATATAACACATTGTGATATTTACCTGGTGGAAGGGTCATTCTGACATATAACACAGTCACTCTATTGTTATATTTACCTGGTGGAAGGGTCATTCTGACATATAACACAGTCACTCTATTGTGATATTTACCTGGTGGAAGGGTCATTCTGACATATAACACAGTCACTCTATTGTGATATTTACCTGGTGGAAGGGTCATTCTGACATATAACACAGTCACTCTATTGTGATATTTACCTGGTGGAAGGGTCATTCTGACATATAACACAGTCACTCTATTGTGATATTTACCTGGTGGAAGGGTCATTCTGACATATAACACAGTCACTCTATTGTGATATTTACCTGGTGGAAGGGTCATTCTGACATATAACACAGTCACTCTATTGTGATATTTACCTGGTGGAAGGGTCATTCTGACATATAACACAGTCACTCTATTGTGATATTTACCTGGTGGAAGGGTCATTCTGACATATAACACAGTCACTCTATTGTGATATTTACCTGGTGGAAGGGTCATTCTGACATATAACACAGTCACTCTATTGTGATATTTACCTGGAGGAAGGGTCATTCTGACATATAACACTGTCACTCTATTGTGATATTTACCTGGTGGAAGGGGACATATAACACAGTCACTCTATTGTGATATTGGTGGAACATATAACACAGTCACTCTATTGTGATATTATAACACAGTCACTCTATTGTGGTGGAAGGGTCATTCTGACATATAACACAGTCACTCTATTGTGATATTTACCTGAGGGAAGGGTCATTCTGACATATAACACAGTCACTCTATTGTGATATTTACCTGGTGGAAGGGTCATTCTGACATATAACACAGTCACTCTATTGTGATATTTACCTGGTGGAAGGGTCATTCTGACATATAACACAGTCACTCTATTGTGATATTTACCTGGTGGAAGGGTCATTCTGACATATAACAAGGTCACTCTATTGTGATATTTACCTGGTGGAAGGGTCATTCTGACATATAACACAGTCACTCTATTGTGATATTTACCTGAGGGAAGGGTCATTCTGACATATAACACAGTCACTCTATTGTGATATTTACCTGGTGGAAGGGTCATTCTGACATATAACACAGTCACTCTATTGTAATATTTACCTGGTGGAAGGGTCATTCTGACATATAACACAGTCACTCTATTGTGATATTTACCTGGTGGAAGGGTCATTCTGACATATAACACAGTCACTCTATTGTGATATTTACCTGGTGGAAGGGTCATTCTGACATATAACACAGTCACTCTATTGTGATATTTACCTGGTGGAAGGGTCATTCTGACATATAACACAGTCACTCTATTGTGATATTTACCTGGTGGAAGGGTCATTCTGACATATAACACAGTCACTCTATTGTGATATTTACCTGGTGGAAGGGTCATTCTGACATATAACACAGTCACTCTATTGTGATATTTACCTGGTGGAAGGGTCATTCTGACATATAACACAGTCACTCTATTGTGATATTTACCTGGTGGAAGGGTCATTCTGACATATAACACGGTCACTCTATTGTGATATTTACCTGGTGGAAGGGTCATTCTGACATATAACACAGTCACTCTATTGTGATATTTACCTGGTGGAAGGGTCATTCTGACATATAACAAGGTCACTCTATTGTGATATTTACCTGGTGGAAGAGTCCCATAGATAATGGCTATTTGGATTCCTAGTTTATTCAGTTTGGCTGATACTTCAAATATAGTTTCTTTACTAAAACAAATAATGCAGTCTCCAGGCCGTATATTTGTCCAGTCCTCTGAAACCATAAGTTACATTTCACTGTATGAGATCTGTTCATAACATATGTTACAATAAATAACTTGTAATAATAATAACCATATGTACATTATAATAGCTTCAGGAAAATCAAAGGCTGAACAATTCTTTCTGACAAATTTGTTATCCAGATTCACTAACGATGAACCAAATGTAAGACTTGTCTCATGATATAGGCCTCAGCAGAGGACATTAACAGCTTCATTATAACAACCTATATTATCTTAGCTCTAATATTTACCAACAGCTTCGTCCAGTAATTTCAAAGGTGTTAATCTTTGGTATGTTTTCACCTACAACAACAAAATTGAAATAAACAATTAGGTGTTCAAAAAACAACAAGAAAATACCAACATGTTAACAAAATTATTATCCAAACTCAAATGATCTAAAACTAAAGTCAAAAGTTTCTATCAGTACAAGGAAAACATTGAAGTGATAGGTCTTTGACAGTACAAGGGAAGCTATTAATCATTTAGTCACTACTTGCTTTCTGTGTAAGGCAAACCATTAAAGGTATTAGTTACTACAGGCATAAAGGGAATCATTAAACATACTACTTTCTACCTGTACAAAGAGAAACCATTAAAGGTACCACTTTCTACCTGTACAAAGAGAAACCATTAAAGGTACTAATTTCTACCTGTACAAAGAGAAACCATTAAAGGTACCACTTTCTACCTGTACAAAGAAAACCATTAAAGGTACCACTTTCTACCTGTACAAAGAGAAACCATTAAAGGTACCACTTTCTACCTGTACAAAGAGAAACCATTGAAGGTACCACTTTCTACATGTACAAAGAGAAACAATTAAAGGTACCACTTTCTACCTGTACAAAGAAAACCATTGAAGGTACTAGTCTCTACCTGTACAAAGAAAACCATTGAAGGTACTAGTCTCTACCTGTACAAAGAAAACCATTGAAGGTACTAGTCTCTACCTGTACAAAGAAAACCATTGAAGGTACTAGTCTCTACCTGTACAAAGAAAACCATTGAAGGTACTAGTCTCTACCTGTACAAAGAAAACCATTGAAGGTACTAGTCTCTACCTGTACAAAGAAAACCATTGAAGGTACTAGTCTCTACCTGTACAAAGAAAACCATTGAAGGTACTAGTCTCTACCTGTACAAAGAAAACCATTATTTATGTTATTTATTCATTACTGTCACACAATGCTATGAGCCATGTATCCAGTAAACAACTGATGAAAACAGGGTCAATCTTTGATGCAAAATGTCTCCACTCGTAGAAACACAGTTAAGTTGAACCATTGGATAATAATACTTTATATGGTACTTCTGACTTTGACTTATCTATGTTTTACTTTATTTTTGTTGTTTTGTGCCCGAGTGATGAAATCTGAAGTGTTATCTTTGATGTAGTATTCTGCTGGTCCAGTACATTTAACTAAATGGTCCACCAACACAAACATCATTTTTCTGTTTCTGATATATTGTATTTATTTCAATAAAATTGTGATAGTGAATGTAGCAGACATACAGCTAACCAATGACTTAATTCACTTTTAGTTCGACCTTATATGAATGGGCAGGCTCAAATGAAGTACATAGAAGACACCAGATTGGTCTATAGTATGCCAAATCTAAGAAATAGTAATTTTGGATATAATCATTTCAGTGATGGTTCTGATATTTTCCTAATAATCATGTAAAATTATCTTTGCTATACTGCAGGTTGAAGAATAAAACTTGAAAACTAGCAATGTTGACTTCACATATTTTTGGTTGTCTGAAGTCATTAAAAGAAAAAACAAGAAAACACTGAGACTTGAAAAAATCCTTTACACAGACTTACTTCAAATTCATCCTTGGTCAACTTTGTCAAGTTTTCTATCAAAGGGACGGCTGATTCTTCACCACAGATGTGCACTTCATCAGCGTTCACACCAAGTACAGCTCTGGTCCAGGCCCAGCCTCGATCTCGGCTACGTATCATCTGAATTTCATCAATCACAGCTACATCATCTGAAACATTAAATAAATATTCAAGGTATTAATTGAAGAAGTGACTACAGAGGAATCTTGGGGTCCATTATGATATGACCTTTACTGGTGTAAAGTTTGTTTGGTTAGCCTGTTTCCAACTAGGAACAAAGGGAAACTAGAATACTCAAAAATGAAGAGCCTATCCTGTGAATGTATGTCCCCTATCATCATCGAGAAGCCATTGTAACCCGTATCACTGAGGTTGGCATAAACGTTTGGACTTCACAAGGATGCAAAACATCTCTACATATGTACTTAACTACACCACTGTTGACTTTTTACCACCATCAGATGTCAGGATGAGTGTTTTACTAGAATATTTCCATAAATAGTATTGACTAGCATAGCATCCACAGCAATTTGGTGGAAATGTCTGGCACAAGAATCTCAGTACAGACAAGTCTGTTTCTAAACTTTCAGAGAAAGACCAACTGAAATGGGTAAAGAGTGTCAAACATTTCTCAATCTTCACCTGGTTTTGTTCAGGCCAACACTTCATAATACCTACAGTGACATGTGTTACAATACCTACAGTGACAGGTGTTACAATACCTACAGTGACATGTGTTACAATACCTACAGTGACATGTGTTACAATACCTACAGTGACATGTGTTACAATACCTACAGTGACAGGTGTTACAATACCTACAGTGACATGTGTTACAATACCTACAGTGACATGTGTTACAATACCTACAGTGACAGGTGTTACAATACCTACAGTGACATGTGTTACAATACCTAGTGACAGGTGTTACAATACCTACAGTGACAGGTGGTACAATACCTAGTGACAGATGTTACAATACCTACAGTGACATGTGTTACAATACCTAGTGACAGATGTTACAATACCTACAGTGACAGGTGGTACAATACCTAGTAACATGTGTTACAATACCTACAGTGACATGTGTTACAATACCTACAGTGACAGGTGTTACAATACCTACAGTGACAGATGTTACAATACCTAGTGACAGATGTTACAATACCTACAGTGACAGGTGGTACAATACCTAGTAACATGTGTTACAATACCTACAGTGACATGTGTTACAATACCTACAGTGACAGGTGTTACAATATCTACAGTGACAGATGTTTCAATACCTATATTGACAGATGTTACAATACCTAGTAACATGTGTTACAATACCTACAGTGACAGGTGTTACAATACCTAGTGACATGTGTTACAATACCTACAATGACAGATGTTACAATACCTACAGTGACATGTGTTACAATACCTAGTGACAGGTGTTACAATACCTACAGTGACAGGTGGTACAATACCTAGTGACAGATGTTACAATACCTACAATGACAGATGTTACAATACCTACAGTGACAGATGTTACAATACCTACAGTGACATGTGTTACAATACCTACAGTGACAGATGTTACAATACCTAGTGACAGGTGTTACAATACCTAGTAACAGGTGTTACAATACCTACAGTGACATGTGTTACAATACCTACAGTGACAGATGTTACAATACCTACAGTGACATGTGTTACAATACCTAGTGACAGGTGTTACAATACCTACAGTGACAGGTGTTACAATATCTACAGTGACAGGTGTTACAATACCTAGTGACATGTGTTACAATACCTACAGTGACAGATGTTACAATACCTACAGTGACATGTGTTACAATACCTAGTGACAGGTGTTACAATACCTACAGTGACAGGTGGTACAATACCTAGTGACAGATGTTACAATACCTAGTGACATGTGTTACAATACCTACAGTGACATGTGTTACAATACCTACAGTGACAGATGTTACAATACCTAGTAACAGGTGTTACAATATCTACAGTGACAGGTGTTACAATACCTACAGTGACATGTGTTACAATACCTAGTGACAGATGTTACAATACCTAGTGACATGTGTTACAATACCTACAGTGACATGTGTTACAATGCCTACAGTGACAGATGTTACAATACCTAGTAATAGGTGTTACAATACCTAGTAATAGGTGTTACAATACCAACTGTGACAGGTGTTACAATACCTACAGTGACAGGTGTTACAATACCTACAGTGACATGTGTTACAATACCTACAGTGACATGTGTTACAATACCTACAGTGACATGTGTTACAATACCTACAGTGACAGGTGTTACAATACCTACAGTGACATGTGTTACAATACCTACAGTGACATGTGTTACAATACCTACAGTGACATGTGTTACAATACCTACAGTGACAGGTGTTACAATACCTACAGTGACATGTGTTACAATACCTAGTGACAGGTGTTACAATACCTACAGTGACAGGTGGTACAATACCTAGTGACAGATGTTACAATACCTACAGTGACATGTGTTACAATACCTAGTGACAGATGTTACAATACCTACAGTGACATGTGTTACAATACCTAGTAACATGTGTTACAATACCTACAGTGACATGTGTTACAATACCTACAGTGACAGGTGTTACAATACCTACAGTGACAGATGTTACAATACCTAGTGACAGATGTTACAATACCTACAGTGACAGGTGGTACAATACCTAGTAACATGTGTTACAATACCTACAGTGACACATGTTACAATACCTACAGTGACAGGTGTTACAATATCTACAGTGACAGATGTTACAATACCTATATTGACAGATGTTACAATACCTAGTAACATGTGTTACAATACCTACAGTGACAGGTGTTACAATACCTACAGTGACAGGTGTTACAATACCTAGTGACATGTGTTACAATACCTACAATGACAGATGTTACAATACCTACAGTGACATGTGTTACAATACCTAGTGACAGGTGTTACAATACCTACAGTGACAGGTGGTACAATACCTAGTGACAGATGTTACAATACCTACAATGACAGATGTTACAATACCTACAGTGACAGATGTTACAATACCTACAGTGACATGTGTTACAATACCTACAGTGACAGATGTTACAATACCTAGTGACAGGTGTTACAATACCTAGTAACAGGTGTTACAATACCTACAGTGACATGTGTTACAATACCTACAGTGACAGATGTTACAATACCTACAGTGACATGTGTTACAATACCTAGTGACAGGTGTTACAATACCTACAGTGACAGGTGTTACAATATCTACAGTGACAGGTGTTACAATACCTAGTGACATGTGTTACAATACCTACAGTGACAGATGTTACAATACCTACAGTGACATGTGTTACAATACCTAGTGACAGGTGTTACAATACCTACAGTGACAGGTGGTACAATACCTAGTGACAGATGTTACAATACCTAGTGACATGTGTTACAATACCTACAGTGACATATGTTACAATGCCTACAGTGACAGATGTTACAATACCTAGTAACAGATGTTACAATATCTACAGTGACAGGTGTTACAATACCTACAGTGACATGTGTTACAATACCTAGTGACAGATGTTACAATACCTAGTGACATGTGTTACAATACCTACAGTGACATGTGTTACAATGCCTACAGTGACAGATGTTACAATACCTAGTAATAGGTGTTACAATACCTACAGTGACAGGTGTTACAATACCTACAGTCACATTGTGTTACAATACCTAGTGACAGATGTTACAATACCTAGTGATATGTGTTACAATACCTACAGTGACAGGTGTTACAATACCTACAGTCACATTGTGTTACAATACCTAGTGACAGATGTTACAATACCTAGTGATATGTGTTACAATACCTAGTGACATGTGTTGAAATACTTACAATGCTCTTGTACATCGGTCATTTCTATGGTACATGCCAGGTGTGTTCCAGGTGTTTTGTCTTCATTAGCAAATCTAATCAGTTCACCTGTCCTCAGGTCACATGGTACACCCTGTAAATTCAAACATATTTCGTAATTATCAGAATGGGCAGTGATTACAATCTCATGTGTTCTAAGGAAAATTCTATTTACAAAAGACACTAACATTAAGGTTGTTTCTCAAATGACTTGTAGTTAAATCTTTTAAAAGTGCTGGAAAATTGTATCATTATGATATGAACTGTACAGTAATTAGAGCAAGAAATCAACTGCTTATTAGATCTAGGAATACCTACCTGTTGGTTAGGTCTAGGAACACGTACCTGTTGGTTAGATCTAGGAATACCTACCTGTTGGTTAGGTCTAGGAACACGTACCTGTTGGTTAGATCTAGGAAAACCTACCTGTTGTTTAGATCTAGGAATACCTACCTGTTGGTTAGATCTAGGAATACCTACCTGTTGGTTAGGTCTAGGAACACGTACCTGTTGGTTAGATCTAGGAATACCTACCTGTTGGTTAGGTCTAGGAACACCTACCTGTTGGTTAGATCTAGGAACACGTACCTGTTGGTTAGATCTAGGAATACCTACCTGTTGGTTAGGTCTAGGAACACGTACCTGTTGGTTAGATCTAGGAATACCTACCTGTTGTTTAGATCTAGGAATACCTACCTGTTGGTTAGATCTAGGAATACCTACCTGTTGGTTAGGTCTAGGAACACGTACCTGTTGGTTAGATCTAGGAATACCTACCTGTTGTTTAGATCTAGGAATACCTACCTGTTGGTTAGGTCTAGGAACACGTACCTGTTGGTTAGATCTAGGAATACCTACCTGTTGGTTAGGTCTAGAAACACGTACCTGTTGGTTAGATCTAGGAACACGTACCTGTTGTTTAGATCTAGGAATACCTACCTGTTGGTTAGATCTAGGAATACCTACCTGTTGGTTAGGTCTAGGAACACGTACCTGTTGGTTAGATCTAGGAATACCTACCTGTTGGTTAGATCTAGGAATATCTACCTGTTGGTTAGATCTAGGAATACCTACCTGTTGGTTAGGTCTAGGAATACCTACCTGTTGGTTAGATCTAGGAACACGTACCTGTTGGTTAGATCTAGGAATACCTACCTGTTGGTTAGGTCTAGAAACACGTACCTGTTGGTTAGATCTAGGAACACGTACCTGTTGTTTAGATCTAGGAATACCTACCTGTTGGTTAGATCTAGGAATACCTACCTGTTGGTTAGGTCTAGGAACACGTACCTGTTGGTTAGATCTAGGAATACCTACCTGTTGGTTAGATCTAGGAATATCTACCTGTTGGTTAGATCTAGGAATACCTACCTGTTGGTTAGGTCTAGGAATACCTACCTGTTGGTTAGATCTAGGAACACGTACCTGTTGGTTAGATCTAGGAATACCTACCTGTTGGTTAGGTCTAGAAACACGTACCTGTTGGTTAGATCTAGGAACACGTACCTGTTGTTTAGATCTAGGAATACCTACCTGTTGGTTAGATCTAGGAATACCTACCTGTTGGTTAGGTCTAGGAACACGTACCTGTTGGTTAGATCTAGGAATACCTACCTGTTGGTTAGATCTAGGAATATCTACCTGTTGGTTACATCTAGGAATACCTACCTGTTGGTTAGGTCTAGGAATACCTACCTGTTGGTTAGATCTAGGAATACCTACCTCTTCAATAGATTTATCAGATATTTCTAAGGCCAGTAAACGCAGTGGACAACAATATACAGCCGTCTTTGCATTTAAAAACATCTGCATGGCATGATGTGTTTTCCCACTGTTGGTTGGGCCGACGTGTAAAACAATTTTACGTGTCCTCTCTCTTGCATCTGTATACCTGCATAAATATTTTAAAAAGTTCATCAAAGAAGAATTTCTTGACTGAGCAATGACACTTTCAATATTAATACAATAACAAAACAGAATGACATCATAAATGTGGTGACATCATGGAAGGAAACTCTTATCATTATATATGTACAATTTAGAGTCGATTCCAATAATTGTGTATAGCCAATCATTCTTTATGTAAAGTCATTATATGCATTGTATAACTGTTTGCTAATGATTGAAAAAAGCCAATGATTAAAAATTTTATAGTTTTCATCAAACTGTTCTGTTTTTCCAAAATAAGTCTTCTAAATTGTTTCTTTTTTGTTAAATGGTCACATTGACACTTTAATCGTAGCCACATATATATGGTCAAATGTTCAACTGATTCTAATAACATATATTTCTAATATTAAATCACTTGTTGTCTTTTTACAGTAGTCAGATCACATGGTGACTTATTACAGTAGTCGGGTCACATGGTGACTTATTACTGTAGTAAGATCACATGGTGACTTATTACTGTAGTCAGCTCACATGGTGACTTATTACTGTAGTCAGATCACATGGTGACTTATTACAGTAGTATGATTACATGGTGACTTATTACGATAGATCACATGGTGACTTATTACTGTAGTCAGATCACATGGTGACTTATTACAGTAGTATGACCACATGGTGACTTATTACAGTAGTCAGATCACATGGTGACTTATTACTGTAGTCAGATCACATGGTGACTTATTACTGTAGTCAGATCACATGGTGACTTATTACTGTAGTCAGATCACATGGTGACTTATTACTGTAGTCAGATCACATGGTGACTTATTACAGTAGTCAGATCACATGGTGACTTATTACAGTAGTCGGGTCACATGGTGACTTATTACAGTAGTACGGTCACATGGTGACTTATTACTGTAGTCAGATCACATGGTGACTTATTACTGTAGTCAGATCACATGGTGACTTATTACTGTAGTCAGCTCACATGGTGACTTATTACTGTAGTCAGATCACATGGTGACTTATTACAGTAGTCGGGTCACATGGTGACTTATTACTGTAGTCAGATCACATGGTGACTTATTACTGTAGTCACATCACATGGTGACTTATTACAGTAGTCGGGTCACATGGTGACTTATTACTGTAGTCAGATCACATGGTGACTGTCTTTATTTCTGTTGTCAGGTCACATGGTGACTGTCTTTATTTCTGTTGTCAGGTCACATGGTGACTGTCTTTATTTCCTTAGCTGGATAATATGTCAATAGGATCCAACATAAAATAGTTTTGCATTTTTTTCACTCCAATTGTGGAAACACATTCTGACTTAATTGAACACTTGGCACAGTATTTACCTCAGGTTTTTTGACTACTGAAACGTAACTTACCATTTAGCTGGCAATGTGAGGTCTGAGATACTTTTCAACTGACTCAAGTGTTTCAGGTGGGGAAATAGTGTGTGTGCATGTTGCAGGAATAATGGAAACAGCGAGACAGTACTTCCTGTCAAAAAAAATAAAATAATATAAAAGCAAGGGCAGACATGTATATTTCTAAAATAGGCTAGAGGGACCCTTTGGTTACTTGAGTATAAAGATGAGGTCAAGAGGAACGTTAAACAGTTACTTGAGTATAAAGAAAAGGCCATGAAGGGCCTTAATGTGTAACCTGAGTGTAAAGAGAAGGCCATGAAGGACATTAATGTTACCTGAGTATAAAGATGAGGCCATGAGGGAACTTGGGGGAACTTTGGGTTACTGGAGTATAAAAAGAAGGCCATGAGTGACTTTAATGTTATCTGAATACAAAGAAAAGGTCCTGAGGTACCTAAACAAAATCAATTATAAATTTAGAAATTAACTACTAACATAGACCAACAGGATCATTCACTTTGGATGAGACAAGGGGACCTCAACCCAAGAGGAACATTTTACAAGTGAGCAAACATAAGCTTTGTAAGTGATTGATCACTTTTAGTCTTTCCTCTATCTCATCTGTCAGGTCTAGATTCCCCTATGTTACTTGAGGATTGAGATTTGCCTATGTTACCTGTGGGTTGAAATTCCCCTACCTTACCTGAGGATTGAGATTTGCCTATGTTACATGTGGCTTGAAATCCCCTACGTTACCTGAGGATTGAGACTTGCCTATGTTACATGTGGCTTGAAATCCCCTACGTTACCTGAGGATTAAGACTTGTCTATGTTACCTGTGGGTTGAAATCCCCTACGTTACCTGAGGATTGAGTCTTGTCTATGTTACCTGTGGGTTGAAATCCCCTACGTTACCTGAGGATTGAGACTTGTCTATGTTACATGTGGCATGAAATCCCCTACGTTACCTGAGGATTGAGACTTGTCTATGTTACCTGTGGGTTGAAATCCCCTACGTTACCTGAGGATTGAGACTTGTCTATGTTACCTTTGGGTTGAAATTCCTCTATCTTATCTGTAGATTGAATTTCACCTATCTTATCTGTAGGTTGAGGTTTGCCTATCTTATCTGTAGGTTGAGGTTTGCCTATCTTATCTGTAGGTTGAGGTTTGCCTATTTTATCTGTAGGTTGAATTTCATCTATCTTATCTGTAGGTTGAGGTTTGCCTATTTTATCTGTAGGTTGAATTTCATCTATCTTATCTGTTGGTTGAGGTTTGCCTATCTTATCTGTAGGTTGAGGTTTGCCTATTTTATCTGTAGGTTGAATTTCATCTATATTATCTGTAGGTTGAGGTTTGCCTATTTTATCTGTAGGTTGAATTTCATCTATCTTATCTGTAGGCTGAGGTTTGCCTATCTTATCTGTAGGTTGAGGTTTGCCTATCTTATATGTAGGTTGAGGTTTGCCTATCTTTTCTGTAGGTTGATGTTTGCCTATGTCATCTGTAGGTTGAGGTTTGCCTATGTTATCTGTAGGTTGATGTTTGCCTATCTTTTCTGTAGGTTGATGTTTGCCTATCTTTTCTGTAGGTTGAGGTTTGCCTATCTTTTCTGTAGGTTGATGTTTGCCTATGTTATCTGTAGGTTGAGGTTTGCCTATGTTATCTGTAGGTTGATGTTTGCCTATCTTTTCTGTAGGTTGATGTTTGCCTATCTTTTCTGTAGGTTGATGTTTGCCTATCTTATCTGTAGGTTGATGTTTGCCTATCTTATCTGTAGGTTGATGTTTGCCTATCTTATCTGTAGGTTGAGGTTTGCCTATCTTTTCTGTAGGTTTATGTTTGCCTATCTTTTCTGTAGGTTGATGTTTGCCTATGTTATCTGTAGGTTGATGTTTGCCTATCTTATCTGTAGGTTGAGGTTTGCCTATCTTTTCTGTAGGTTGATGTTTGCCTATGTTTTCTGTAGGTTGATGTTTGCCTATCTTATCTGTAGGTTGATGTTTGCCTATCTTTTCTGTAGGTTGATGTTTGCCTATCTTACCTGTAGGTTGATGTTTGCCTATCTTTTCTGTAGGTTGAGGTTTGCCTATGTTTTCTGCAGGTTGATGTTTGCCTATGTTTTCTGTAGGTTGATGTTTGCCTATCTTATCTGTAGGTTGATGTTTGCCTATCTTTTCTGTAGGTTGAGGTTTGCCTATCTTTTCTGTAGGTTTATGTTTGCCCATCTTTTCTGTAGGTTGATGTTTGCCTATCTTATCTGTAGGTTGAGGTTTGCCTATCTTTTCTGTAGGTTGATGTTTGCCTATCTTACCTGTAGGTTGATGTTTGCCTATCTTTTCTGTAGGTTGAGGTTTGCCTATCTTTTCTGCAGGTTGATGTTTGCCTATGTTTTCTGTAGGTTGATGTTTGCCTGTCTTATCTGTAGGTTGATGTTTGCCTATCTTTTCTGTAGGTTGAGGTTTGCCTATCTTTTCTGTAGGTTGATGTTTGCCTATGTTTTCTGTAGGTTGATGTTTGCCTATCTTATCTGTAGGTTGATGTTTGCCTATGTTTTCTGTAGGTTGATGTTTGCCTATCTTACCTGTAGGTTGATGTTTGCCTATCTTTTCTGTAGGTTGAGGTTTGCCTATCTTTTCTGCAGGTTGATGTTTGCCTATGTTTTCTGTAGGTTGATGTTTGCCTATCTTATCTGTAGGTTGATGTTTGCCTATCTTTTCTGTAGGTTGAGGTTTGCCTATCTTTTCTGTAGGTTGATGTTTGCCCATGTTTTCTGTAGGTTGATGTTTGCCTATCTTATCTGTAGGTTGAGGTTTGCCTATCTTTTCTGTAGGTTGATGTTTGCCTATCTTACCTGTAGGTTGATGTTTGCCTATCTTTTCTGTAGGTTGAGGTTTGCCTATCTTTTCTGCAGGTTGATGTTTGCCTATGTTTTCTGTAGGTTGATGTTTGCCTATCTTATCTGTAGGTTGATGTTTGCCTATCTTTTCTGTAGGTTGATGTTTGCCTATCTTACCTGTAGGTTGATGTTTGCCTATCTTATCTGTAGGTTGATGTTTGCCTATCTTTTCTGTAGGTTGATGTTTGCCTATCTTTTCTGTAGGTTGATGTTTGCCTATCTTTTCTGTAGGTTGATGTTTGCCTATGTTCCTTGAGGATCAAGCTGCCTCACTTGTTTTCTTAATGTTATCATTATCTCAATGTACAAAAAGGTTACATTTCGCTAAAAGTGTTTCTCACGTCATTTAATATGTAGATACACTTAGAAAGGAAACAGTAACATCAATTAATGTACCTTTCTTCTTGGTTAGATCGAACATCAAGTCATAGAGCTCAGGCGACATCGTCTCATTCAAACATATGGAACTGAATGACCGAAACGTTGATCTGAAAATGGCATCTGAAACATCAAGAACATACATTGATATATGGAGTAATTTATGTACTTACATATGGAGTAATTTATGTATTGACATATGGAGTAATTTATGTATGGATATATGGTGTAATTTATGTATTGATATATGGTGTAATTTATGTATGGATATATGGAGTAATTTATGTATTGATAAATGGAGTAATTTATGTATGGATATATGGAGTAATTTATGTAGGGATATATGGAGTAATTTATGTATGGATATATGGAGTAATTTATGTATGGATATATGGTGTAATTTATGTATGGATATATGGTGTAATTTATGTATGGATATATGGTGTAATCTATGTATGGATATATGGAGTAATTTATGTATGGATATATGGAGTAATTTATGATGGATATATGAGTAATTTATGTATTGATAAATGGAGTAATTTATGTATGGATATATGGAGTAATTTATGTATTGATAAATGGAGTAATTTATGTATGGATATATGGAGTAATTTATATATTGATAAATGGAGTAATTTATGTATTGATTTATGTAAATATATGCTAAAGTTATTACTCTAAAATATTATTTTACTAGCTGCACTTAAGTTTTACTATGCCAAAATAAATACAGAAGTACATTTGTGTAACAAATATTTGATATTTTGGTTCTAAAACCTCTTTAGCATAGTAGTCAACGTTAACATCAATATGCAACTATATAAATTATCATGATAAATGAAGCTTATGTAGAACAAATTTTATCATAAACTGTATCCAATCTAATTGGTACAATACAGAAAGTACTAATAAATATAATAGGTTTGTCAAACAAGTTTGTCCCTGTTCTGGCAAAAAATCGGAATCATATCACTAATTATTTGGTAAATTTCTCAACCAAAATCTTCAAACAAGAACTGCACCGTAAAACATTTCAAAATTAGGAATAAAAAATGAAAGTAATCTTCTGACTGTCTAGATACGATCATTCTCTGCTTAACTGCAAGCCCTAAAGACAACATGACAGCTCGAATAGCTCTACAGGGCATGTCTGTGAAGCAAGCCCTAAAGACAACATGAAAGCTCGAGCAACTCTGCAGGGCATGTCTATGAAGCAAGCCCTAAAGATAACATGACAGCTCGAGCAGCTCTGCAGGACATGTCTGTGAAGCAAGCCCTAAAGATAACATGACAGCTTAAAGAACTCTGCAGGGCATGTCTGTGAAGTAAGCCCTAAAGACAACATGATAGCTTGAGCAACTCTGCAGGGCATGTCTGTGAAGCAAGCCCTAAAGACCACATGACAGTTTGAGCAGTTTTGCAGAGCATGTCTGTGAAGCAAGCCCTAAAGAAAACATGACAGCTCGAATAGCTCTGCAGGGCATGTCTGTGAAGCAAGCCCTAAAGATAACATAACAGCTCGAGCAACTCCGCAGGGCATGTCTGTGAAGCAAGCCCTAAAGACAACATGACAGCTCGAGCAGCTCTGCAGGAAATGTCTGTGAAGCAAGCCCTAAAGACAACATGAAAGCTCAAGCAACTCTGCAGGGCATGTCTGTGAAGCAAGCCCTAAAGACAACATGACAGCTCGAGCAGCTCTGCAGGACATGTCTGTGAAGTAAGCCCTAAAGACAACATGACAGCTCGAGCAATTCAATAAGACATGTCTGTGAAGCAAGCCCTAAAGACAACATGAAAGCTTGAGCAGCTCTGCAGGACATGTCTGTGAAGCAAGCCCTAAAGAAAACATGACAGCTTAAAGAACTCTGCAGGGCATGTCTGTGAAGTAAGCCCTAAAGATAGCATGACAGTTTGAGCAGCTCTGCAGAGCATGTCTGTGAAGCAAGCCCTAAAGACAACATGACAGTTTGAGCAGCTCTGCAGAGCATGTCTGTGAAGCAAGCCCTAGAGAAAACATGACAGCTTAAAGAACTCTGCAGGGCATGTCTGTGAAGCAAGCCCTAAAGACAACATGACAGCTCGAGCAACTCCACAAGACATGTCTGTGAAGCAAGCCCTAAAGACAACATGACAGCTCGAATAGCTCTGCAGGGTATGTCTGTGAAGCAAGCCCTAAAGAAAACATGACAGCTTGAAGAACTCTGCAGGGCATGTCTGTGAAGCAAGCCCTAAAGATAGCATGACAGCTCGAGCAGCTCTGCAGGGCATGTCTGTGAAGCAAGCCCTAAAGATAACATAACAGCTCGAGCAACTCCGCTGGGCTTGTCTGTGAAGCAAGCCCTAAAGATAAGATATGAGCAAAGAATAAGGTGAAAAATGATCATCAATAATACCAATCATAAAGTTGAGGTCTCAGTCATGTTTTATGCCAATGGCAGATGGCAACATAGCGGACATAGCAACAAATGGCCTTGTTCACTCTGATGCTTGATCACTTTGTAATTACTGAGGTAGTGTGTGCAGATAACAAAATCTGGTTGAACGACGCTAAGAAATAAGTATCTTATCCGACAAACCTGTCAAGGTTGTCCAAACGAATAGACTAAGAAAGGCGAAACATGATAAATTAGGAAGGAACACAATAAATACAGTACTTAAGGGAGAAAATGTTTCTTTAACTCTAGGTGTAATAAATATTCAAGCTTAATATTTTATCACCTTAGTTAACCACAATACAAAATCTGATGATACTACACTCACTCCATATGGCTGTGCCATAATAAATATAATTTATTTTAGTGCTAGTATATTTCATTAATCCATGAATACCAAATTGTAAATAGTATATATCACCATGAACCTTATGGCTACTGGATTCTGTGAGTACAATTTCTTAAATAACTCAAGTGCCTACAAAACTTTTTTGATAAACCATGCCATTGAGCCTCTACAAAATATACAAATTTACAGTAAATCTAATGGATGACGTCACAATCTACCAAGTATCCGTGTACACTATATTGTCACTAACTGATAACTGATGACATCGCCATCTACCAAACCGCTGTGTAACACTACTCTGTCACTAACTGATGACATCGCCATCTACCAAGTCGCAGTGTAACACTTCACTGTCACTAACTGATGACATCGCTATCTACCAAGTCGCAGTGTAACACTTCACTGTCACTAACTGATGACATCACCATCTACCAAGCTGCCATGTAACACTATACTGTCACTAACTGATGACATCGCTATCTACCAAGCTACCATGTAACACTACACTGTCACTAACTGATGACATCACCATCTACCAAGCTGCCATGTAACATTAGACTGTCACTAACTGATGACATCGCTATCTACCAAGTCGCAGTGTAACACTTCACTGTCACTAACTGATGACATCACTATCTACCAAGTCGCAGTGTAATACTTCACTGTCACTAACTGATGACATCGCCATCTACTAAGCTGCCATGTAACACTTCACTGTCACTAAATGATGACATCGCCATCTACCAAGCTGCCATGCAACACTTCACTGTCACTAACTGATGACATCGCCATCTACCAAGTCGCAGTGTAACACTACACTGTCACTAACTGATGACATCGCCATCTACCAAACCTCTGTGTAAACTTCACTGTCACTAAATGATGACATCGCCATCTACCAAGCTGCCATGCAACACTTCACTGTCACTAACTGATGACATCGCCATCTACCAAGTCGCAGTGTAACACTTCACTGTCACTAACTGATGACATCGCCATCTACCAAGTTGCAGTGTAACACTACACTGTCACTAAATGATGACATCACCATATACCATGCCTCAGAAAAAATTTGGTCGAAATCTGTGTGGTCATTCTTGGCTTGTAGAGATTTTCAGTAAAAAGTAGATGGACGCAAGACGCCAGAAGCAAGGACAACAGATGTGGGATGTCCTTTGGACCAGGTCAGCCTAAAAACAACTGCAGTTTGACTGATAGATAATTGCAATTACAATTCATTAATAACAGGAATGCTATGTTTGATAAAGACTTCAGCCTTATGGTAAATTATAAATTAAACTTACAAGTCATGTTGGCATCTTTGCACATCTTATTGACCTCAGCAGTATGGCTGAATTGAGAAAGAACCCTTTTGACAGCATCTGAAATACGATAGAGAGAAGAAAACAATTAACATTATGATATATTTACATGACAATGTGATAATGTATTCACATAAGCTTGGACTTTCTCAAATCAGTTACTTTGGGATAATGCAGCTAAATGTATATTTTCTCCATACTCATTATGTTTTTCTTCATAGCTGAATACTATGAAATTCTTCCATCATCAAGTACTGATAACCATGTTTGACAGTGATAAAATTAATCAGGGCTGTTTTTTATGGGAGAAGTCTATTCAGAATTTTAATTAAAGCCTAATTAAGTGGTTGATCCCTTAACAGATTTTCATCAGGACTAAATGATGTGGCAAAATGTCTAAATAACTTATTCCAACAAAAAATAAAAATGCTTAGTACAGAGGTCCGTTTCAAAACCAAATGAAATCTTGGATAAAAAGGGCATTTATTGCTACTTTTTCCTGTGGTTAAGTTGTTGATGTGATGTTTGAAAGCATCATATCATATTGTACTGATTTGTTAGATTATTCATTTATAATGGTAGTATAGGGCTCTCATGAACAAAATGTCCAAACGTAACAGATTTCATTGTGGTCTTAAAACTCTTTATCAACTGTAAGACTGCAAACATTTCCTCATTTTTATCTTGGAGTATTTTTTTTTTCAATCATATCACCTGAAATTTTATTCTGTGTGAAACAGAAAATTTTCTAACTATATAAAGCCAAAGGAATAAATTTGTCAAAAACAAAATAATATTCCAAGTAAAAACCTCTCAAACAATATCTTTATGTGATTTCATGATAAATTAGCAATATCAATTACTTCTAATCATTCTTCACAAAATAAAATAATCTGCAATAATGAAGACAAATTCTGTTGCAGCCATGACATTGTTAGTAATGACATAACTTACTGTTCCTGTTACAACATATGTTGCCAGAAACATCTCCACCTGTGATGCAATATTTTGGGCACATACTGGATAATTCATTACCTTTTGTTTTTGTAACATACTCTGATATCTTTCATTTAAATGATAGCAAATGGTATCTTACTCTTTGCTTATACTCTCAGCATGAATGTGAATATTGATCATCAACTGACATACTTTTCATTATTACTAAACATAAAGATGGTTTTACACAAATGATGAAATTGGTATGCTCTAAAATTTATTGAAGCACTAACCAGTTAGCCAAAATTTATCAGTGTTTTATTTCTTTCTGAAGTGAAAGACATTGAGCAAATGTGCTCTGCACTTTACCCGTAGCTAATGTTAATTAAAAAACTATGACAGCATTTTCACGTTCCTGAATTTGTTTGACTTAATTTTAATTATTTCTGAACAAAAAGATCATTTACACAAAATTGAATAGACATAAAGCAAAACTTCATCACCCTTCCAAATACCCAGCGTATAATGCCAACCAATATCATGATGTCACAATAGTTGCAATAATTGTGTAATCAATCACTCGCTGTAGTGTTCCAAATTTGCTTCATTCTTGAAGCACTATTTATTGGTGTTTTCTTTTCTTGAAACCTTCAACTGATTCATACTATAAGTTCTACAAATGTACATGTACATATGTATGCACAATTACCTGCGATTTTAACCGGTTATCTGCTGATTGGTTTAATCTTTATTTCTTTTTAGTAAACTCACCAATGTTAAGTGTGTTGTCAACATTTTCTTCAGAATTATCCTTTTCTGGAATACCGTGATGTTCAGATTCAGGAACGTCAACAGTGTTAATGGTGGGACGAATTCCTGAGATACCGTGAAGTTTAGGTTCATGAATGGCTACGGATTTAATAGTTGGACTGATTTTTGGAACACTATAAAGTTTAGCTGTAGGCCTGACGTCAGCTTCAGTCGTTGGAAGGTTGTTTGGAACACCGTCATGTTTAGGCTTTGCAACTGAACGGTTATTCATTCTTTTATCACTGGCTATAGCAATTCTATTTCCAGTTTTTGGTGTTCTTGTTGCAAAACTTGAATAAAGGAACGCATATTTCCTTTTGCACCAAGTTGTCGACAGCTGTTTACAAAGGGGCGCGGTTCGTAGTGTCGCCATTCGTGTAAACTTGATCATTGACATACACGAGCTATCAATATGACTTTTGGTCTTGTGCCATGCGGGCTGCCATCTTGTATTTGTGACTAATAAACAAAACGGAACCTGCCCTGTAATTATACATATATCATGTCAAACGCAATGTTTTACTTAATAAAATAACACTATACGGAGTGAATATTTAATTAAGTAAAACAACACAATACAGAGTGAACATTTATTTAAATAAAATAACACAAAAAGAATGACGATTTACTTAAATGAAAGAACACAGTTCAATCGAACGGTAGAGAGTCCGGCTGGAGACCAAAGGGTCGCTAGTTCGAATACCATATGTGGCATGCATTTTTCATTACCCTTCCTATTACAGTTGATCCAGAGTTAAATGACAATTTTTCTCTATTATTACCAAATGTTTTCCGGAAATTGGATCGCGATACCGGTTTAGTTTCTATAACCAAATTAACGTCAGTCAAACGCTTACCCCCAATGACTGGAAAACCAATCGCAACACCTCGGGCGATTCCCATGATGGAAACAGCTAGCTAAACGTCTTCAGGATCGCGATTTCGTGTTTTCCTTTACCATGGCATTTCGACATGTCACAACAGTATTTTGAAACATAATTTCAGTACATGTAAAGATGTTGGATAGAAGCCAACATTCGTGTATTGTTTGCTTTTATAACGATTACTCAATCGGGGTCTTTATAAACTTTTACGATGGATCAAATCCAACACAAATCAAATATGACGAGAACAAATTTGAAACTGAGAGGTGAAGGTAAAACAGACGGGCATATTGGTTCTCTTGACTATCTGCCCGATGATGTTTTGTACGTTATCCTGCTAAAACTGGATATACAGTCCCTAGGAAGGGTATGTCGCACGTGTCGACGACTTCAGAGATTGGCAGGGGCAGATTTTGTATGGGCCAGACATGGAAACAACAGAACCTTGATTCAAGAGTCCGGGTGGTGCCATCAAAAACAAAAAATCACGTATGTCCTAGTATTACAGTCAACCATTCAACATTTATGAGACTGTTTGTGTGCCTGTCACAATAAGAGTTTTGTTTATGAGTTATGTCAAGTCGCGCTGTTTTAGAGCTTTACAATATACAGATACATCTACAACTTTATAAACACTGTCAGACTGTCCTAGCACATGTTTCATTATTTCGGTCCTTTTATTAGGTCATCTAACTGGAGGATCAGGTTTACCTATAGCTATTGTGTTTTGTCTGTCATCGTGCACTGTGAATTTTTCATTCAACTTACTTTTTCATAGAAACCAAAAGGTACAGGGTGCTGATATTGAGCCTGTAGCATGCTGTAATAAAGGGCTACATACCAAGTTTGTTCAAATGAATGACCTTGGCCAAATTTCAAGGTCACATGGGTCAAATGTGTTAAATTCATTAAATGACTTCTTCATGGAAACAAAAATGTCCAGGGTGTTGATATTGTATTGTAGTATATATAGGAAATAGAATTTTAAATTTTGCAGAAATTGACTGATAAGGTCTTCATGGTAAGCTGCAGAACATTTGAGCAATTCAAGTTCATTGAGCCACTGTCATATACATTGTGTGTATGGTAAAATGACCTCTAAGGCCCATGGGCCTCATGTTTTTAATGTTGAGGTCTTCAAATTTAGGTACTAGATGGTAACAAGGTTAAGACATGTGATACACACATGATAGACTAAGAATGTAATGCCTTGAATCACAGTTAGTATAACCTGGCATATTGAGATGATAGTGGATTGTAAAATGATGTTGTTGTTCTCTTATTTTTATGCAGATTAAGACATACAGAATGCTCTTATAAGGAAAAGTTACGTCTATCTTATAACTGGGAAAATGCTGTCTTCCACAGTACAGTGATCACACAGAATTCAGTAAAGTGAGTAAAATGTATTCTAGCAGTAATGTTCATGTACACTCTTTCATTTAGTTAGAGAGAAATTCATATAATTCTGCAGCCCCATTTATTGATTTTTAAATGTCATCAAGTAAATACCTAGTAAAAAGTTGTTATGTAAATTCTTCCATCAATGATACTAGGAGATTTTCTAAATATTCAAAAGGTCTAATATTAGCAGGTTAGGAAGAAGACAACAAATACCTAACACATGCAGTTGTTTCAGTGATAATAAGTATTACTATAACAATATTTCTGTTTACTGTTTGTTTGTAGTTGTGTATGTCAAAATTTGAAGATTGAAGATTTATTTAAGTTGCTTTACACAATGTATGTACATTGATAATGACTGATGGTCTGTATACCTGGCAGGCAGATGCCCTGGCTGCAGTGTGATCAGGGAGGACTGTGGGTCTCCACTGAACAGAACATCAAGTGTTTCAGCACCAACCGACACAGACGTTCCAAAAACCATCTTCACACACTCAGCGGAGTTAAACATGATGTAACACACTTTATTCTTCATGAAGAGTCTGTGATAGCTGGCTGTAGGTACGTATACCAAAGAACTGTTACATTTAAATGTATTGCTTGTGTTTGTGTACTCAGTCAATCTCTGCAACAGTAAAGTTTGTTAAGTCAAAACTCATCCTTCTAGCATGTAAATACTCAGCTCCTCAGTTCAACAATCTGTTGTGTAGAGACTTAATTAGCCCCTCTGATCAGTGTATTTCTGTACTAAGTTCTTCAGCTCTATGTAATGCTGTGTTTACAGTGATGGCAGTGTGGTCAGATGGAACAAGACATCAGATAGTCCTACATTTACACACAAGGTCCATGAGAGTCACATACACAAGGTAGACGCGAGAGCAAATCTGGTTTTCTCAGGCTCAGCAGACAACACAGTCCGCGTAAGTTAGATTGTATTGGAGTTATCTCCCCTGAATTGTTTTTGGTTGTCTCTGATTGTGGTACATATTACTGTACTTGGTAAATCATAAAAAGTAAACATTTGCATAAGTTTGGAAAATGTTTATATCTGTAATATGTTTTCCAGTCATCCTCAGTGTTTATGGAGTACATCATTATAACAAGCTAGTCAATACATAATCTTTCATAACAGGTTATAGACACCCTATGATCAGGTAATATAAAGATAAAACAAATAATGTACAGTAATGTCATTAGCTGCTGGTATCAGTCATGATCACCATCTATAGGTCTGTCACTTATACTATCTAAATCCCTGGAGCTGAAATGTAGCCAAAGTACGAAGTAATGTTATATATGCTACATAGTCTGACCGCTTATTGAATGATTTTTTTTTTTACAATTTTTTGAAAGCAATAAGCACATCATTGCTATTTTAAGGCATGCAGGTATGACAGAAACTAGTCATTAAATAATTTTTTGTTTAGTTTTTATCTGCACCAGAAATACTCTAATGACAGCAGTACATATCACAGAAATGTAAGACTATGCTTACTTAATAAGGTAAATTTCTGATCAACAGATTTTAGACACAAATCTAGGAGCAGAAAACAGAGTTGTGAAAGTGTTTGAACTAGAGGACAGAGTATGGTCAGTGGGTGTGTCACCAGATGGCAGGTCAGTATCACACTTTTTCACACTATCTGACAGGTCATTGTCATTCTCTTTTCACAACTAATGACAGGTAACTGTTATACTTTGTTTTATCACCAGTTGGTAGGTCAGTGTTATACTTTTACACAGCAGATGATTGGTTGGTATCCTAACATTTTCATAAGAACAGTTTTCCTTAATCTGATGGATGGAATTCAAATAAGTACATAGTCATGGTGCAATTTGTATCCAGCAATGTTTAGTTTCATTCAAAATAAATGTCATAAGGAGTCACATCTGGCAATTCCTATCTTGAGATCTAGAAGTTACCGGTATTTCAGCTATATGAATTGTTATAATTTTGCTTTTAGATGGTGTGTAGGAGGTACTGCTGCAAGCACAGAACAGACTCCGCCATTGATTGTGTGGGACGTAGCCAGGTTAGTACTCTATTGTGTGGACTCTAAACCTTACTGTATGTTGGTCAGATAGAGAAGGTCATTATCTGGAGATGAATGCTGTGATGTACAACATGTCAAAAGGTATAATGTGATAATTCATATATGATAAGTAATAAGTACGACTAGCTATAAAACTGTAACTGTTATAATATTCAGGTGATAAAATAAAAACATATGATATACAATTTAATGGTTTATTATGTTTCATTTAACACCTGATCACTATTGCAGTTTGACAAAGCTATGTAATCTTGGAACACATCACAAAAAAGGTGCTGGAGTGTTTGACATGAAGTTTGAGTCCCCAGATATCCTTCTTACGAGTGGCTATGACACGGTGTTAAGGATGTGGGACATGAGGACTCACACATGGTAAGTGCTACCACTAGAATAGGGCGGTAAAAATCTTTAAATCACTTCTGAGACTGACAAAATAAAATATTTATTGCAAATATTTTATCCCCTTATACAAACTTAAACGGCAGAACTTCAGAACTTGCCTAATGTTTTGCGGTTAGCTCGTACATTTGAAATGTCTACATGTCAGAGAAAGAATTAATGTGTTGATTGTAGTTCTTTTAGTGATAGAGACTTACTATGTTTAATTACAGTGTACGAAACTGGGTGGAGCCCTTTGATTATGCTAACTACTGCATCCAGTCAGATAATAACATGACCATGTTTACTGGGACGGCTCGCAGCAGTATGACCAGACTTTGGGACAAAAGGAAATCAAACCCTATCACTGTAAGTAAAGAAAGAGCATATCTTTCTTGCTGAACTTGTCTTCACAGTACAACTACAACATTCTGTTCCACTTTAAATACTTTGAGTTTGGTGGGATATCATTTTGTGATACAAGTTGTTTTTATGATATTGTGCCATTACCTCATATTATATAACAATATATGAATTAGTAGTTAACAACTAGTATCATTACAATCTTTAAGATTAATGTATCAAGTAAATACATTTCCTTTCAGTGACTTATCATGATATATTTATTTATACTCTACATCATTGTATTGGACAGATGTATCACCCACCCTGCCGGAGGAGAGATAGTCCAGTGTACTCAATTGCTCATGACACTTCACGACTGTTTATTGCTCTTGACCTTAGTATCCACATGCTAGACTTCTCAGTGAAAGGATGAAGGAGACATCCAGTTAACCTTGCTAACTCACAGTTTGATGCAGAACTAAAGGAGATGATTGTTTTCTGTCATACTGACTGCTGGACTGGATGTTGAACTGTTAATGAAAAAAAGATGACTACATGTAACTTAGAATTCCTAGGCCTGTGTTTTACAGGAATTCCCACTGATAGTCATATCATAACACATGCTTTTGTTGCCAGTAAGTCTATGAAAAAGGCATCGACTACATAAGAGCTGCAACTTCTCAAATGATGGACAATTCTATAATCAGTAAAACAAAGAGGACCTGCCTTACCATGACGACACATGTAGGTGTTATCAGTGAAATATAAAGAAAGGTGTACACCAGGTCAGAAGTAATGACCTGTCTGCTGACCCCAGTGAGAAGGAAGAAACAAGATTCAACAAAACAGAAAACATGCTCATTATATGTTGCAGCTGAACTGTAATGTCCCTGTCATTTTAGTAACCAGGTACTTCACTGACAGCTATTGCGTGGAGACTGTACAAAATGTATCATACTCTAAATCTGTAAATAAACTATTTCACACAAGTTCAGTTACATTGATTGATTTGTAAGCAGTACTTCCCTTCAATAATGTTGAGAATGTTTGTTGCAAATTGTAAAGTCATCTGCCCTATAGCCATCACAGTTCATGTGTTGTCTTGTGCCATACCTCATAAACTATAAAACAAGGTTTTGCTCATTGGATGTTTGTTATAAAAGACATGCCAGCTAATTTGAGAAATGATAGTGCAATCATTTCTTTTATTAAAAAACACAACTCTCAAAGTCTTCGAGTGCTATGAGAGGGATATAGTTAAAACCTGCCATATAATCCTGATATATTCCTTATCAAGTGTTGTTTTTTTCCCAAAAAGATCAACAAATCCAACAAGAGCGTCATTTTGCAAAACACATTTTTAGGTCACCTGGGACAAAGTTTCATCATGGCTTATTGTGATTACCTTTTGTTCTATGGCATCAACTTTTGACATTTTTTACTTCTAGGAAACCCCTGAACTGATGTCAATTAATCTTTGCAAAAACCTAAGGCAAAATGTTGAACCAAAATTGTAAACCCTATGGTCAGAACCCGTAGGGGACTGAGGGGCGGTGCCAAAAGTGGTCGAACTGACTCAATTATCATAAATTTTCCTCTCAACGCCCTAGATTTGTTGAATCAAGTGTTCTAATTCAGGGATTGAAGGGTCTGCAGCTGCTCTACTAAAATTGTAAATTTCTTTACCTCTGTGTCTAAGTTCCCTTTGAGGAGGAGATCCTGGCTATATATAGGTCGTAAGTGTTCCAAACAACTGTCGATGTCTAACATAGAAATCCTAGCTATATATAGGTTATAAGTGTTCCACTCAGCTGTCGATGTCTAACATGGAAATCCTAGCTATATATAGGTTATAAGTGTTCCACTCAGCTGTCTACATCTCTCACGGAAATCCTAGCTTTATATAGGTTATAAGTGTTCCCATCAGCTGTCGATATCTCTCACGGAAATCCTAGCTATATTCAGGTTGTAAGAGGCTGTCGATATCTCTCACGGAAAAGCTATATATATCCACTCAGCTGTCTACATCTCTCACGGAAATCCTAGCTTTATATAGGTTATAAGTGTTCCCATCAGCTGTCGATATCTCTCACGGAAATCCTAGCTATATTCAGGTTGTAAGAGTTCCAATCAGCTGTCGATATCTCTCACGGAAATCCTAGCTATATATAGGTTATAAGTGTTCCACTCAGCTGTCTATATCTCTCACGGAAATACTAGCTATATTCAGGTTGTAAGTGTTCCCTTCAGCTGTCTATATCTAACACGGAAATCCTAGCTATATATAGGTTATAAGTGTTCCAATCAGCTGTCGATATCTAACACGGAAATCCTAGCTATATATAGGTTGTAAATGTTCCAATCAGCTGTCGATATCTACCATGGAAATCCTAGCTATATATAGGTTATAAGTGTTCCCATCAGCTGTCTATATCTACCACGAAAATCCTAGCTATATATAGGTTGTAAGTGTTCCACTCAGCTGTCTATCTCTCTCACGGAAATCTTAGCTATATTCAGGTTGTAAGTGTTCCCTTCAGCTGTCTATATCTAACACGGAAATCCTAGCTATATATAAGTTATAAGTGTTCCCATCAGCTGTCTATATCTAACACGGAAATCCTAGCTATATATAGGTTATAAGTGTTCCCCTCAGCTGTCTATATCTATTACGGAAATCCTAGCTATATATAGGTTATAAGTGTTCCAATCAGCTGTCGATATCTACCACGGAAATCCTAGCTATATATAGGTTATAAGTGTTCCAATCAGCTGTCGATATCTACCACGGAAATCCTAGCTATATATAGGTTGTAAGTGTTCCCATCAGCTGTCTATATCCAACACGGAAATCCTAGCTATATATAGTTTATAAGTGTTCCACTCAGCTGTCTATATCTATTACGGAAATCCTAGCTATATATAGGTTATAAGTGTTCCCATCAGCTGTCTATATCTATTACGGAAATCCTAGCTATATATAGTTTATAAGTGTTCCACTCAGCTGTCTATATCTAACACGGAAATCCTAGCTATATATAGTTTATAAGTGTTCCACTCAGCTGTCTATATCTAACACGGAAATCCTAGCTATATATAGTTTATAAGTGTTCCACTCAGCTGTCTATATCTATTACGGAAATCCTAGCTATATATAGGTTATAAGTGTTCCCATCAGCTGTCTATATCTATTACGGAAATCCTAGCTATATATATAGTAACACGGAAATTATATATATGTTTCCAGTGTTCAGCTGTCTATATCCAACACGGAAATCCTAGCTATATATAGTTTATAAGTGTTCCACTCAGCTGTCTATATCTATTACGGAAATCCTAGCTATATATAGGTTATAAGTGTTCCCATCAGCTGTCTATATCTATTACGGAAATCCTAGCTATATATAGTTTATAAGTGTTCCACTCAGCTGTCTATATCTACCACGGAAATCCTAGCTATATATAGTTTATAAGTGTTCCCATCAGCTGTCTATATCTAACACGGAAATTCTAGATATAATTACAGTAACAGATCGTCAGATAGTCTCTATCTACAGTGACATGTCATTAGACAGTCTATATCTAAGGTGACAGGTCATTAGATAGTCTCTATCTACAGTGACATGTCATTAGACAGTCTATATCTAAGGTGACAGGTCATTAGATAGTCTCTATCTACAGTGACATGTCATTAGACAGTCTATATCTAAGGTGACAGGTCATTAGATAGTCTCTATCTACAGTGACATGTCATTAGATAGTCTCTATCTACAGTGACATATCATTAGATAGTCTCTATCTACAGTGACAGGTCATTAGATAGTCTCTATCTACAGTGACATGTCATTAGATAGTCTCTATCTACAGTGACAGGTCATTAGATAGTCTCTATCTACAGTGACATGTCATTACATAGTCTCTATCTACAGTGACAGGTCATTAGATAGTCTCTATCTACAGTGACATGTCATTACATAGTCTCTATCTACAGTGACATGTCATTAGATAGTCTCTATCTACAGTGACAGGTCATTACATAGTCTCTATCTACAGTGACAGGTCATTATATAGTCTCTACCTACAGTTGCTGGTCTATTTACAGTGCCTGTGAACCAGACTATTAGTGTTGACATTATTGATTTCTCACAACAAGGAAGAATGCTTTATATATCTGTAGCCATGGGGACCACCGGAGTCTGGCCAGTGAGTGTGTTACTTTATCTTACAGATAAAATGAAAATAAGGACGCAGGTGAGAGGAACTTACTGCAAGTAGCAGTCTTCTAATGGATTTTGATTCCGATGTCTTTGAAAATGATGTAGGTGAGTATCATATTTCAGTTACCAGAGGGATCGGTTCAACAATTAAGTTGTCACCGTGTATGATACTTTCGTTTTCACATTGCTGTTGTATAATACTTCACACCCAGGTGTGCACCACATGCATCCATGTCATCTTCAAAGTGTAGAAGAGTCCTTTTCATGTCTGCATTTTTATATCGCTTACATTAATGATATATCAATACACAGATACAACGTATAAAGCGCTCACACATTGTTATGACGTCATATTTTTAAGTCCGCGATAATAAAAGTGTATGACTACAATACGCTACGATAAAAATCCATGTACAGAAAGTGGTGTAAATATGACGTCATATACCATCATATGAACGTAACCATTATACAAACTCAAATTCAGGAATGCAAAATATGAACAAAAGAAGCATTTACACGGATACATGAAAAACAAGGATAAAAAGACTAGGTGTTCCGGAAGAGTAAGCGTCTTCTGTTATATCGACAACAGCTTCTATCTATGTTAATCGATCAATCCATGTAAGTAATACCGGGTTCTCACTTGAGAGCAAGATAGGGATAGGAATATATCTGCCTAAAATTACTTGACAATGACGTCATATAAATAAATCCGTCAATATAGTGGTGTGATTCCAATTCACCACAATGTAATCACTTCAAATGGTACCTGTGTAAACACTGTTGACAAATATCACAACATCACCAGTTTGTATTGTCTAGTCAACAAAAGGAGAGCTCAGGTTATTCCCCATGTTAGTTACATCCACTCTTATTCTTCTTGGCGATATTTCTCTCGTTTTACGTGTTATAAAATCCTAAACGCTTGATTCTTTTTGTGTTCTACAGTTAATTTCTTCTTATATTTCCCGGCACCTTTATTTGATGTGACAGTATGTATTATTATCGTGTGCTTTGAACGTATGACAGAATCATGGTGCACCTTCCTTTCTGTTTTCAGTTTAGCATACTGAAGACTTCGCCTGTTTTTTTTTACTGTAACAAATCTTTAACATTACCTCCCTCCTACACCTCTTCTTCCTGAAGGCACGTTTGCCATATTAACGATTACTACACATACACATCTCATTTTAGACTTTAATAAATGCCATAATTCTCTTGTTATGAGGGCTTTACATTAAAAAAATTCCAACATATGAACGTAATCATAATTCAATTCAAATTCAATAAAACTAGAGCAAAATATGAACAAACGGAAGATACACCAAGACTCCTAAAAATTACAGGGAGAACAGACCAGACGTTCCGGAAGAGTAAGAGTCTTCTACTAACCTCAACCTCAACCTTTCTCTTGACTGATTTGTTGTTAAACCTTTCCTACAAACTATTGACACACCCATCAGAACATTCTCTATCCTTCTGTTGGCCGATTTGGCGGTAAAACTATAAACAAAACACCAGAACAAGTTCGACCCTTCTCTTGACTGAGTTGGTGGTAAAAACCTTCCAACAAACTGTTGACATATTCACCAGAACAATCTCGACCCTTCCCTATTCTTTTCCTCCTCAGAATTCTTGGTTATATTGTCCAAGGATACTTTACTACAGAATCAGTATAATGTTATGACCATGTGACCCGATCGATCTTTTGACAGCGTCGTTGATAAAGAGAACCAGGTGCACGTTGGCTATGTCACTGATCTTAAATCACA